AGTCCTACCTCCAATGCCCTTGAATGCATTCCCTTCAAGATAGTAAGGATTTCCACTCTTTTCCAACAACATCTTCCTTGTGTTCTGGTAGGTTGGATCGTTGATCTCACAAAATCCCATCAGAGGAAGTGCCAGTAATGAAGGATAATTAGCGTCGTCCATGAGGATCGAAGAGCCATATCCATCTACTTCATATGCGAACACATCTCCATATTTCTTGTGCTTGACCACGCCATGCTCCATGATGCCTTCGCGGAGTTTTGCACTCCAAGTCTCTAATTTTTGGGCCAGCGTTGTTTTGCCCGCCTTGGTAAGAATCTTGGACGCTCGCTTCAGCTCGACAGACATTTGCGCATTGGCGGGGATAAAGAAACCGAGAATTGTTGCATCGTCGCTAGGTCGGAAGGCTGATCGAACCAGGCCCGTTCCCCAGTTCAGAGGATTGCCAACGCCCTTCAGGTTGAGTGTTTCAGTCCCAATGTCGGTGCGTCGCGAGAATGTGTACTCGTTGCGTTGAAACTCGCCAGTCTTGGGGTCGAAGGTCGACTTCGATTGCTCAGTCAGCACGTTCAGGAGGGTTTCAACAGCGCGGTACCATCTCTTGGTTAGAAACTCGGTCGAGCCTGTATGATCGTGGAAATCGTTGCCAAGAGCGAGGAAATGTGCCAGAGAATCTAGCTCATACTTGCACTCGAATACTGCTTGCGGCTCATATGCTGGGTGTACGTTGTCTTCTTGCCCATTAGACGAGAGAGGTAAGTCGCTGATGGGTGGAGGTTGAAAGGCGTTGCAGTATGGAGACTCGATCACATACTCGGCCTGAGTGTTGATGGCACCGAGTATTAACGTGTGGATGGCTGGATCCTTGTTCGCAAGCGGCTGGTAAGGGCGCAACTGGTTTGTTGAGTCGCGTAACCATTCCGCGATAATGTCACCCGTTATGATGAAGGACTGTGGTCCCTGCCAAGCTCCCTCATCATGGAAGCCCCCAAAGCTTCCCATGCGGAAGAACCCTGTATCTTCTTTTCCTTTGGTATGGAACTTGACGGTTGTATCGGTCGTCGAAGGGAATGCGTTCTCGAAGAGCCGTGCTAGATCGGGGTCTTTCATTCGCGACGTCACATCTTCAATGACCTTTTCGATAGCGTCTGATTGAAATGTCCGGCATTTCGTGCTTGGTCTTTGATAGGGGAGCTCTCGAGGGCCAGTACTGAATGGTCGACTAGGCGAAAGTGATGTCAGAGGGGTTCGGTATGTTGCGCAATGAGAATAACATACTGAGGATATGCTGCATATCGTGTATAGTCAGGACATATGCGATGGTAGTCGCCAAGAGGTCTCTGTTCATCGTCTGGACTGGCGCTGGCAAGGGTCGCGCTCAAGCCAAGCAAGCTTGATGCCAATATGCGAAGTGACATGGTGAGAGGCTAGGAGATATGTTGTTGAGTTACAAGTAGGTAGGGAAATATTAGGTTAGAAACATAGCAATTTCTTCGAGCTTAGGTCGGTGTCGATTGGGTGTCAAAGGTCAAAGGCAACATTAGATGAGAACGGAAGTTGTCAGAGTTGTGTTGTGGTGTTACAGCTGTCGCATTATTATCCCCCCGATTATGTAGGGTGAGACAAGCTCGGCCAGAGCTCCAACTAACGTGGGGCTCATCGACATCAGCCAAACCATAAGGTAGCGTGCGTGCGTGCATCATGGCTCATGCAGCCGATGGATATAATGATTTTGATGGAACAGGGGTATCATTTAAAGCTATCTATCTACACATACGTCGCTCGCTATTTCTGCTTCATGCCTATAATTACCAACCCCATGTTCGGCTTGAAGCTGTGAACACTGGGGGCTTCCATTGAATCTTGGTTGGATCCACCGTTCGTTTCCTCTTCAACTTGGTCTTCTCCCGTTGCTGGATCAACTTCTCAGGAATCACAATCTTGTGGTCGCTCTTGTGGTATACCTGCATTCTGAGAGCTTGCAAGGTATGCTCCACGTCCTGCGTTGTCATAGCCAGCGCTGTTGATATTGCCTCGATCGTGACCTTCTCTTCACGCTCATTGTATCCCATAAGCAGCTCCAGAATGTTCTCTGACCAGTACTGTCGGTAACTCAGCAGACCCAGATCCGACAATGGCTTTTCTGGAGAGCCGAGCTTTCCCTCAATGCGAGAAAGCTCATACGAGAACTGAATCAGAAGTCGACCATAGCCTTTGCGTTGATATTGCGGCATGGTTAGAATACAAGCAACATTGTATCCGTCCGCACTCTCTTTTTCCTTGGAGAAATATCCCACCAAGTGGCATCCCTTTTCGGTTCGCGCAGTCATGACATAGAATAGGAAGGGATCCACATCATAGTATAGTGTCTTGTGGTCAAGAAACATCTTGGACAGCAAGCAGAGGTTGCGGCACCACGTTCGTTGCCGTCGACCATCGATTTCGAAGAATGATATATCCTCGTTCCGGTAAAGCTCGTTTCCAGGTGGATGTTGTAGTGTGCACTTTCGTCGATGCCGTGTAAACGCCTTCTCATCTCCATAATAACTCAGACAGAATTCGCAAATGAAAATCACATCCTCCTGACTGAAGATTTCGGGATAAGGTGAAAAGTACCAGGGGTAAAGGTCGAAACGCCCAAATTGTACCTTGGAGATATTTCGAATTCGAGATACTTCGGTCGGGTTCTGTGTCATCGAGCCAGATGTGCGGAGCTTCTCGATCTCAACTTCACGGCTGAATTCTGCTGGTTCCCTTTTGACTTCAGCTTCCTTGTCATCTACATCCATGTCGTCGCCTCCAGCAGGTGTTGCACCATCAACACTGGCGCGAGCTTGGCTTTCCCCGTCGGGCCCGATCGAGGCAGACTTTTGACGATTTTGGGATTCTACGAAGTCGTGAGGGACGTCAGCTTTGAATTCGAGGCACAGTAGCTGATATACCTACCAGTCCATGGATGTGGAGTATTTGCCTCTGAAGCAACGGATTGCTCCCGCTTCCCTGGTCTCTTTTGTGACTTCTTAGAAGGTTGTGTCTTCTTGGATTGTGCAGCGGGCGCTTTCTTCGTTTTGGGGTCTTTGGGCTTGTCCTTTTCTGGGTTTGGCCATTCGACCTCTCGAGTAAAGTCTAGCCTAATCACGGGGACCCATTCATCTAATCGTTTATTGAAATTATCGAAGTTGCAATAAAATTGCTTGCCGCTTTTGGTCGTCTTGATGCTAAGAATTTCGGCGCGTCGTGGTTGTCCTTCCTTTTCAACCCAGGCAATGCAGCCTGTTGTTATTGTCTCTGGGGTCGCAAGGCTCTTTAGTCGAGGCTCACCTGAGCCCACGGTGGGCTCGCCGCTAGGTGTGCCGCCGGCCATGATGGAAATAGGATGGTTGAGTGATATTTGATGATTGTCGCGTTGATGGACTCGTGTCGCAAGATAGAAAACGGAAGGAAATAATCTTGGAGGGGCATGGCAGAAAATAGAATGGAGTTCTTATCGGCAGGCGGTGAGAGCGATAGTTGCCTATCTATCCTTTCTTAAATGCATAAACTCTGTTAGCTTCATCACTCAGAAAGCCGCCCACTCCATCTGGTGCTCGTTTTGCGACTTGTATGAACAGTTCATTTTTTCTTGTAGAGATTTTATGTCGGGTGAAATCTTCTTTTGAGAAGATGGCGGCGCTTTCTTCCAACTGGAAGAAGCTCCAGGCAAAACTCAAGGAAGAGTCTGCATCAAAGCCATCTCTCAAGCGCAAATCAGAGACCTTAACAACGAACCCACCACCTAAAAAGTCTAAGGTGCAAAAGTCCCTCCCAAACCCGTCAAGAAGATCAGTAAAAGCAGCTCAAACAAGAGCCAAAAAGCCAATGGGTGGTGTTCACAGTTCGAAAATTGAGGAGTCAGTACCTGGGACCTCAACATCTCTTGCACTATGGGCAGAAGACAATGATGTGTCTGCAGAAGCCCTGGCAGAGGCATACAGTCTGGGCGCAAAGGACAATTCGATGATGCTCGCCTCAGCAAAGGACAAAATCAACCATGGACTCACAGAAGGGATCGAGGTTGGAAAATACATTGCAATCGATTGCGAAATGGTTGGCGTGGGACCAGGTGGTCATGAATCAGCTCTCGCTCGTGTGAGCATTGTCGATTTTCATGGTGTGCAGATTTACGACTCTTATGTGAAACCCAAGGAGAAGGTCACAAACTGGAGGACAGCGGTCAGTGGAATTGACCAAAAGAAGATGAGATTTGCAAGGGAATTCGAAGAAGTTCAGGCAGACATCGACAAGCTTCTCCTAGGCCGAATATTGATTGGACATGATCTCAAGCATGACCTAGACGCCCTCATTCTCAGCCACCCTGGAAAAGACATCCGCGATACCGCCAAATTCCCAGGTTTCAAGAAATATGGAAATGGAAGAAAACCAGCGCTGCGGGTTCTCGCTCAAAAGATTTTGGGCGTTGAGATACAGGGAGGCGCACATTCTAGTATTGAAGACGCGCGAGCTACCATGTTGCTGTTTCGCAAGCACAAGCAAGCGTTTGACGTTGATCACGCAAATCGATATGCGCCGAAACCAGCATCAGGCGGCCAGAAAGGCGCCAAATCGAAAAAGAAAAGAAAGTGATGGACCGGCATAAACAAGTCCATCCTCACAAAGTTTCATTAAGATACCCCTAGAGCAAGAACTATTATTTTTCGGATAACCATGGTTCATCGAAGTACGCACAGAGTTTCAGAGATAGGGAACTATCCACTTTGACATTCTGAGATCAATTTGTACAATAAAAGCCCAATCAGTTCGTAAATTCTCGTCAGGTTAAGCTATCTGGAATGAGACCAGAGTTCCGATTGATGAAGTATCTAACTTACTAACATCTACTAAGTTAGGACCCATTTTTGACTGATTGCGTGTGAGATAAGATAAGCCCATCATCCTCGGAGCTCTTTACGCGTCTCGACGCGTCTCCTTCTCTTGACAACGAACAAATCAACACTACCACAATGTCGCAACCAATACTCTCATTAATGCCCGACGAGAACAAGTCCAAAGCTGTGGCGAATCTTTTGCCATGCCGTATACACCATGACGGAACAATTGACCAGGCATCGGCATTTTGGACTCCTACTACTACCGATGGTTTGTGTCCCTGGATACCAATCCCGTTGCCATGAGCTTACTGACAGACTGAAAAGAGGGCACAAAGCTAGCATATTTCCGAGGTAGAAAACTTCATGGAAAGGTGGTAAAAATGCCAGAACAATGTCGAGGTGTTGTTGTCGAACGAGCGCCCGAAAACGACACCAAAAGTGCCAACGAGGACGTGGTAGAGGATCTCGATGCCGACCAAGAGCCAGAACAAATAGGAAGCATGAAAATAACTGCCGAGTTTGACGAGATGGTCGTTTGGGGACACGAGACCGTGGCGGATGCCAGTGCAGATCCTTATGTTCGCAGTATGGAGGAGTGGTTTCAGATGGCCGATCGGGTATGGCTCGATATCGACTAGACAAGAATCGGTTGCTGATTTCTACAGATTCACTCTTACTCGCCCTCTGCAGATACGACACAAAAATAATGTGAACGGCAGCGACTTAGGTTCGAGCTGCTCCATTCACCACAAGCTGCTTGTTGACATCGAGAGGTATCAAGATCGTCGCCTCGAACCGACTAAACACTCCAATAATATATCCGAGCAATACTCCTAGCACTCAAAGTCTGCGTTAAGATATTGTCCTCCGCCTATTCATGTCGTTCTTGAAAATTGGGGCATAGACCTCGTGTGTTAGGAGTAAATCGTTTTAAAATAAGGCCTCGGAGACCAGCACATGCCTTTTATAGCCAAAGTCTTATCTCTAATACCTCTACCTCTGATTGGATAAACTTCTGTATGCTAAATTAAAAGAAATAAGTCTATGGTTCTAGTAATACTTGTTTTCCTTTATAAAGTCTAAACTCGCTGGCCTCTGACTCTTCCTCGTATGCATGGTTAAATGAGCGCTAAGCCTGATCCAAGGGGACGATATGTTCATTCTGATACTGCCAATGAAGACCAGATTCAATCCTCGCGGTTTCTTTGAGTCTGCGTACTGCGGCGGCTGAGCACTCCATATACCACAGGGATGGCTTCCTTGCAAGAGCGCGAAATGTTCTTCGGACAATCTGTCCTTGTCTGTTAGTGTATGGAAGATACCTTGTATAGTTCCTCGGATCGACATGAGTGTTGAGGCGCCTTTGGGCCGAAGTGTTTCTCAACCGCCTGCGCTCAGGGGGAAATCCTTCGGGCAGGGCTTTAAGATTGATTTGCTTGTCCTTCTGATCCTTGTGATCCTCGTTCCAGTCGTGTATCATTATATCAAAGTCTCGAAAATCCTTGTAGCAGGTGGCGAAGAGTTCAAAGTCGATCTTTGATCTGCAAGATCGTGAGAGATGTAAATTCCACTCTGGGTTGCTGGCAAAGTGAGGAACCGTAATGGATGTGCTGAAATCGGACAGCTTACCATTGATGATCTGCCTGTGTGCAAGGTCGAGGTCCGTAATTCCGAGTTGTTGTACGTATTTGATGTCTCTGAGGATGCTTTTGGCGCCTTTGTAATCCAAGACTTTGCTCTCTCCGAACTCCTTAATGATACCTCGAATTGGCGGGAGGCTACCATCGCTGCAACGAAAACGAGTCCTCATGTCTCGAAGATTGCGGTCCTTGTAATACTCCTCTTCATCATGATCATGATAGCCATCCCAGGTGAAGCTGAGTTTGTGGGCGGGGAGATAGGCGAACTGACTCATCATGGTTCTTTCGTGTGCATCATCCAGCAGAATATAGCCGAAACATTTGACTGCCAGTTCTTCGTAACCTGTCTCTTGAAGTCGGCCAAATGCACGGCATTCACAGGTGAAAGGCTCAGAATAAGGGTAGAAGGCTCCAAGTGCGTCCGGATCATCCCGGTTGTCCGGGTGCGCTGGTGAGACCCAGCTTTCGTCGCTCGGGAACCTGAACTACTACTCGTTAGTCTTTGATTGTACTCTGTCTTGTTATGTAAAGTGATACTTGCAAGTTTGAGAGCATAGATCTGACTCCTGATCTTCACTTTGAACACAATAGAATGTATTCCTGATCCTAGATGGTCTAAGAACTGGATCTGCTGGGGGCCTTGGAAGTCAAACGCTTTTATCTTGGGACCATTGCCCTGCGGAAGCGGAACCAAGTCTGCAACTAACTGTGGCCTCTCGGGATACATTGTTTCTTAATAATAAGAGCAAATTGGTATGTTGAACAGGTAATCACTGAAATGCTCGTCTTGATTGCGTTTGGGTTAGTCAGGTATTCAGTAGAAATCCATGGCTCGGCACCTGGCCTTATAAGCTCCTTCCGTTCCATACACTATTATGTGGCTACAATTTTCATCCAACCCTTTCATGAGGCATCATTTGAAGTGTTCAGTCTGTAAACACGTCTTGGGCTGACAATCTGGCTTTGCTAGGCCCATTGTTGCTATTTCCGAACAAAGACACCATGGTGTTTACTCGACACTTGTCTTGTTCCACAATGCCGGCCTTTAAGTCGGTCTTTGTGCTTTCATAAATGTTTACTTGGGATTTGACAAACCTGTGAACCAATGTGCTTTTGAGGACTGGATGGAAAGTGCTTTCATTATGACAAAGAGTTCGTTGTGCAAGACAGCAAACCAAGCCATCTGTATTTCAACCTGAGCCGATATGCTAATGGGTATGTATGCATTTTCTTTCATTCAGGCGTATCTTGGATTACTCAAATGGGACTCTAGCTGATAATTTGCGGTAGTTCCCCTTTTTAAGAACTGGTGGTCTTTTTGTAGCATCTAGGTTGATCACCTTGTGAGTTAGGCTATGCCAGTCTACTTCTCGTCCAGGTCCGTCGTGATACCAATCTCTCGTGTTGCTTCAATATCATGCTGAAGAAAATCAAGCTTCTTCTCCAGACGAGCAAAGCAATCTGGGCCCAATGGTAATCTCAGGATCTTTCCCTTAAGATGACCTGCTGCTCCCTCGCCCGTGGCCACCTCGAAGATGATGTCCACTGCCTTACTGGGATCTCCGGCCTGCTTTCCAGCAGCCTTGTCAAACTTCTGAAGTGTTGCTTCCAACACCGTTCCTTGATATGCCTTTTGGCCAGAAATATTGCTCTTGACGCTGGCCTCGAGGAAATTTGTACGGAACGCACCGGGCTCAACCAGCAAAACATTGATTCCAAACTCTTTGACCTCCTTAGACAGACTCTCGCTCAGACCTTCGAGAGCAAACTTGCTGGCACTGTAGATTCCGCAGCTGGGTTGGGCATCTTGGCCAGCGATACTGCTAATGTTGATGATGGTACCGGAGCCCTGGCCTCTCATTTCGGGGAGGGCAGCTTGAATGGTGTATAGAGGGCCAAATAAATTTGTCTGAATCTGATGTTCGGCCTCGGCCTCCCTTATCACAGGCTTTAGTGTGCGCTCGGACATTTTAACAATACAGGGCTGACTCACGTAAAAAACTCGATGCCCCCCAAGACGGAGTACCCAGCGTTATTCACCAAGAAGTCGATCCTCCCATAAACCTTCTCTGCATCTTGGACTTTCTTGGTAATGCTAGCCTTGGATTCAGTCAGGTCAATGGTGACGATCTTTCCGCCAGCTTCTTCGATTCGGCGGACAGCATCGGCTGATCTTGTAGTGTCCCGAACAGTTGCAATGACTCTGTGTCCTGCTTTCAAGACTCTCAGACTGAGAAGCAGGCCAAGGCCGTTGGAGCTTCCGGTAATGAACCAAACTGGGGTCGTCATTTTGGTCTGATTGATTGTCGATGAGACTCGATGCTAGAGGCGGGTGTGTAAGTTTCGGTTTCGATCTGTGGATTGTTTCGATTCATATGCGCGGATACTGTGCTGTCTTATAGTGTTAGCATCACGGACTTAATGGTTCTCTATTCCCGTTTAACTTCGTTGGGCGACAAGCATTTGGTGATGAAGCTCCACACCATGTTGCTTATCACCGATCACGTATCGGAAATACAATAGCAACGCCGGGATGCTCGTGGCAGAGTTGCGAAGTTGACCAAGGTAACAATCTCGAGTTTTTGACAAAAGAAGACTGAATAGTCCAAAAGACGTATAACGTCATAGCTCTCTAGACTAATGGCCTACCTACCAAAGAGTATGCGAGTGAGTCTGAAAACAGTACCATTCAGTCTGACATATAGGAAATTCAGCTTTCTCTTCATGGGTTATTACCATTCCATTTGCAGGCTAACGATCACCACGAAGAGAGAGTTCGACCGATGTCTGTACTCACATATTTCCCCTTGAAAATGATCTCTCGGGCGCTGTTGTAAACTATGTTGACGACTTCTTCTGTGTAGTGGGCTACCTAAACCACCGCCAAAACCTTCCTTATGATGTGCCAGCTCGGAAGACCAAAATATTTACGAGAACGCTTAACCATAGGATAGCCTAGGAACCAGGGACAACATCTTGCATCAATACTCCAAAGTCGATCATCTCAGCGGACTAATTATCCAGATTTTATCAGCGCGTGATTGATAGGAACGATTACAGTGTAACCTTGCCTTCGTTCTTGGGTCCCCTAATGGTTGGCTCTAGTTGTCTGCTCATTAACTGGCTATTCAGATATTGCAATTGACTCCAGCCAAGATGATCACATACCACAGGCACACTCTCCATCTAAGTGTGCAGCCTGGTCAGCCCGTTGTTCAGGTACGAGAAGGTTGAGTATTTAGCATATGTGGCATTGGTGATAACCTCCATGTTGATGCTCAGAGGACATACTCTGGTATGGAAGCAGTGAAGTTTGAAGGAATGGAGTGTAGGGCTGACATAACTGGATACTGAAACAGACAATTTAACATGATGAAAATTTTAACAAGGAAACATGACATTCGTATACGTAGAAGTGTTTATGTCGCTCAAGGTTTTGTGTACCTTTCATAATCCATGTAAAGTTTCTAATAAGTCATCCATACCTAGACTAGAGGTAACAGCATCTAGCACAAACCAGTAGAGCACGCGAGATATATGTAGGTAGGTACTTACTTAATATTAACTCGCTGAGGCTGCGTATTTCTGGTACTGGACCTCACGCACAGGTGGTCAAGCTTAAGGAGGCCCTGGAAGCAAAGTATTAAGCATTTTCCCACCAACCGCCACCCGCACCACTCACTGTGTGCGTGGCCCTTTCAAATCGAGGCCTCCTCCTACTTCATGAGCCTCCCATCACGTCCCGTCCCTCTGGACCTTCCCAAGCCTTGCCCCTCACCCTGCCGTCTGATCCCACCAACTCATGTACCATCAAGTGACGCATTAGGTACTAGGTATCATCTTTAGCCACAGATCACGTCGTCTCATCAACATTAATCATGACTGAAAGAGACCTCCAGGTGCTGGTTATCGGGAAAGGTGCCCGAGAGCATGCCTTGGCCTGGCAGCTGAGTCGAGCCAGATCAGTCAAACATGTTTTTGTATTCCCTGGCAATGCTGGCACACATGAGGTTGCAGCCAGCAGCAACACAGCCGGGATTTCGGCCCTTGCAGGCGTCAGCAGCTCGGAATATGACGACTTGGCGAAGCGTGCCAAAGAAATCGGTATAGGTTTGGTAGTTGTTGGGCCTGATGACGACGTGGTGAATGGCATCGAAGAATTCTTTCGCAAAGGTCAGGGAACAACTATCGATCTCTTTCCATCAACTTTTAACTGACATTCCCTCTTTTTAGTTGGCGTGCCTTGCTTCGCACCTTCGCGCGAGGCCGCAGAACTTGAGGGCTCCAAAGTCTTTGCGAAGGAGTTTATGAATAAATTTGACATTCCGACTGCCCACCACCGGAGTTTTGACAACCTCGAGGCTGCCAGTGCATACGTGCGCCATGTTTTCGCCGACAAAGACCACCGCATCGTCATCAAGGCAGACGGCCTCGCTGCAGGCAAGGGCGTGGTTCTCCCTGAAACACTAGAAGAAGCACTGCAAGATCTTCGCAGCATCATGAGCGACGGCAAATTTTCTACAGCGGGCTCCTCAGTCGTAATCGAAGAGTACATGGACGGTTACGAGATCAGCATCTTGACCTTTAGCGACGGCAAGACCTTCTTCTCTCTTCCGCCTGGGCAAGACCATAAGCGTATTTTAGAGGGAAACAAAGGACCCAACACTGGAGGCATGGGCATTTACTCACCTGTGCCCATGGCGACCCCAGATGTCTTACAGAAGATTGATCAAGTCATCTTGAAACCTACGTTTGATGCTCTAGCAAAAGAAGGTGAGCTGCCCGTCGTATCTCGTTTCAATTCGACCGCTAACAACCCAACCAGGCCGTCCTTTCTGTGGCCTGCTGTTCACTGGAGTCATGGTCACCAAATCGGGCCCTAAAGTTATCGAGTACAACGTTCGCTTTGGCGACCCGGAAACCCAAAGCTCGATGCTTCTTATTCACGAAGACACCGACCTCGCAAGTGTCATGCTGTCGTGTACAAATGGGACACTCGCACACGTGAAGAACAGCATCAGAATTAAGCCAGGTTTCGCATGTAATGTTGTTATTGCATCCGGCGGATACCCAGGGGATTACAAAACTGGAAAGGTGGCCACACTGAGTTCTCCACCAGAGGGGGTGGTTATCTTTCACGCTGGGACTCGTAAGGAGGATCATTTGCTGAAGACCGCGGGAGGGCGTGTCTTTTCGGTTGCTGCTTACGGTGATACCCTTGAAGAGGCACGTCGCAAGGCATATATGGGTGTCGACTGCGTGTCTTTCGAAGACATGGTGTACAGAAAGGACATTGCTTTAGGGGGTCTAGCCAAATGAGGAGTAAGGCCACCACGCCATATACTAGATTAGTTCAAACATATAACACCAGAGGTAGAGCTGCGTTGCGATTGTCGCTCCTATGTAACCCAGTCCAGGATGCTGTGTTCACAGATGCTTAGGTGAGTCTTTTGCTAGCAACACCCACCAGTCTGGCTTAGCCCGCATCGACTACTATGCGCAACAGCCTCTTGCTCGCTGGGTTATTATCACTTTTCTCAACGGTCGGCTCAACTCTACAGTCCACGCGTTCTGACATGCACAGGCATACCATCCTTGACTCGTGGCGGCGAGTCTGCTCCAACTTGATAGCAACGATCACCCCAGACAGTCGGTCGTGCCTTTTCGGAGTTTGTAGTTCCACTATACGAAAGGCTTTGGTCAGTAACACAGCCCGCGACGTAACTGAGAAACTAGGAGACTTACTTCATCTGGTCCCATTCGTCCCACGCACACTCGATATCGAAGCATCTCGCCACCAGCACCATGGCTAGTTTCATCTCGAGGGTGGCAAGATGTTGCCCAATACAAACCCGTGGCCCGGCCTCGAATGAACGCCAGCCGTTGGGTGGCGGGTACAAGGGATCCTCCGGATCAGTGACAAGAAAACGTTCTGGAAGGAACTCCCAGGCTCTATGCCAGATCTCAGGGTCGCGATGGATTGCATATGTCCCGTCCCAAACAATGAAGTCCTCGGTTGGCAGCTTCTTACCTTCAAACCCAGGATCGGAACCCGGCGGACCCACGAGGAAGAACCCGGGCTCGCCACGACGCATTGAACCGACGTTGGTATGATAACGCATAGATTCACGAAGGACAGCTAGTGTGTAAGGGAGCTGGTTCAGCAGCTGTGGGTTCTCCCTTATCACACCAGCAACACCCCAGGCATTTGGGCCAAGGACTGCGTCATGCTCCTCTCGCAATTTGGCCAAAACATCTGGATATTCGCTGAGCAGGCGAAACAGCCAAGCAATAGTTGCAGCACTGGTATCAAAACCTGCGAAGAGGAAAGTATTGATCTGCCCAATGGCCATCTCCAGAAAGTCAGCGTCAAGCTCCATGTTCAATTGGTGGTCCTTGTCGTCCTGTCCCGCCCCTTTCTGTTCAGCTCTCTCGGCATCGAGGGCTTGTACGATTAGATCAACCAGTGTCTTTCCCTTTGCTGTTCGATCCTGCTGAAGCTTGTTCATGCGCTCTTGAAGAACAGGAGTGAAGCTTTTGACAATCGTTCTGTAGTTCTGCCAGAGTTTGAAGTGGCGCCACGGATTGCAGTATTGGATGAAGTTGGCAGGATTGACGAAGAAGTACATCCTAGAAATGGTGTCAAGGAGGGCGGCACAAACAGGCGAACTTCTTCCCCACTGCTCGTGAAATCGAATGTTCCTTTGTGACGTTATTAATATCCCAGGACTTGACGTCGGCAAATCTTTCGAGACATAGTGGAACTTACAGAAAGAGACGAATGATAACATCGAGAGTGAGATTGGCAGTGGCATCTCCAAGTGGGAAGACCTCGCCCCATTCTCCGTTTTTTCCTGCTTTGCTCTTGAGAACATTGGCAAAGTCCTCCACCTCTTCAAGAATGTCTGGTAAACGACTATTGATATTTTGAATGCTGAATGCTGGGCTCAGTCTTTTACGCCAGACTTTCCACTCCGGGCCCTCCATGGAGGCCAAATCGCGGTTCTTTGTGAGGGGATAGAGAACATGCTTCTGTTCATAAGCCTTGGGTAGTGAGTGTTCTTGTGTGAACTGAGCCGAAACATGTGCGTTGAGAGAGATGACCATCGGCGCTGTGAAGGGCCACGTATCGATGTAAGCAACAGGTGGACATTTTGTGCATTGAGGGAAGAGTTCCCGCCAGTTCTCTTGAATCTTCAGCATCAGGTAATCGCCGTGGGCATCAGATGGAAGTGTTGAGACGAGTTTCCCAATAACTTCAAGGTGGCCGAGAATCATAGAATGTTTCATAATGGGCTATCTCTTGCATCAGAAACTGAAGTTATCTAGTGGAAACAGGAATACATACAATTCCCTGATCCTTGAGGGCCTGGAACTTCTTGCGAACTCGATAACCTTTCCGAAAGGCGTGGACGAGTAACGCGACCAGTATCACGCCTGAGAAGCGGAGGAGGCGTGTGAGGAGCGAGGACCCGTCATCCTGAAGCCCAGGAAGCCACATCTTGGCCAACGGGGTTTGTTATATTTACAACTCCTGACAATTCAAGATCGTGGATGCGCGGGAAACGTCGAGAAAGCCAGGTTGCATAGTCATCAGGGAAAAGATATTCTTTCCTGCTGTCAGAGTCAGACAGCCACAAAAACGAGATCCTGGTTGAAATTGGCCAATCAGCCGTTCAATGATAAGCTGAACTGCCCCGCTATCACTAATTGCCTTGTACCGAATTGATGATCAGTCAGCTGTGATCGCAGATATCTTTGCCTTCCAAGTACCAAGTTCAGCATTTCAACAGTATGGACACTATATCTGCTCCAGCCTTTCAAGGTTTGATATGTACCCTGTGTGATGTCGTTACAGTCTAGACTCCTAATCAGGAAAGGCGGGTTCTGTCTCTCTATCCGCAAACTAACAGGCCGTGTGACTGGCGCGCATAGAAGTGAAAATTATGGGGAAAAGCTGGCATTATCCATCGAATCATTATCATCTGGGAATTCATCCTCTGGCTCGAATGATGGCGCTTGGTGAGAGGGGCCAACGTCGGTGTTTAGTGCTCCGATGTGGGGTTTTGGGAGAGATACAGCAGATGAAGGAACGCACGTAGCCATCCATATAACGATACCCCTCCTCTTCTTCTCACTCTCATATACATTGAGTGCCCTTTTGTGTCGTTGTTGGTTACCAAGAATCCATTCATCATGTCTATGTCAGTCGAAGATGCCACAAAAGTGCGAGAGGGTTTTCCTAAACCCTTTCCCAATATTCCCAACAATGTGGTTGAGCAGCTTCGCTTGAATGGAAAGGTCCTCGTTGTTAATGGAGCTGCCGATGGTCTAGGGTATGCGGTGGCTGAGGGCTACGCTGAAGCAGGCGGAAACGTTGCACTTTGGTATAACTCGTGAGTTGCACAGGATAACTGCCATTCGATTGATGTTACCACTGGCCTAACACGTGTTTCAGGAATGACGCTGCCGTTGAAAAGGCTCGACTACTCTCAGAGCAACATGGCATCAAGGCATCCGCTTACAAGGTCGACGGTGGGTATGTTCTCTGGACAGAGCCTCTAGCAGCAGCTAACACGGATGTTTCCCTCAGTATCTGACTCACAGCAGATTCAAGATGCCCTTAAGGCTGTTCTTGAAGATTTTGGCAAGATCGATGTCTATGTTGCAAACGCAGGTGAGTGTTTCCGGGCGATGGATCATGGTATTCTGGATAGAGCTAATACATCGGTGGTAGGCATGGCAATTTCAAAACCCATCCTTGAGCAAACTCTGGAAGAATACAAGAAGCAGATGTCGGTGAATGGTAAGTGATCACTCCTGGTGTCTTTGGTCCCACTGACAACTATGTAGTTGACGGAGTTGTATTCTCTGCCAAATACGCTGGTGAGATTTTCAAGCGTCAGGGTTTCGGAAACTTCATTATCACCTCCAGCATGAGTGCCCATATCGTCAACGTGCCAACTGATCAGCCAGTCTATAACGGGAGCAAGGCCTTTATAACGCACTTTGGAAAGTCTCTTGCTAGGGAATGGCGCGAGTTTGCTCGTGTGAATATCGTATCTCCTGGTTTCTTTGATACAAAGATGGGTGCGAGCCCTGAGGCGCTTAACGAGGCGTATCGCATGGCTGTTCTTGGAAGACAGGGACATGTTAAGGAGATCAAGGGTCTTTACTTGTACCTTGCAAGCGATGCTTCAACTTATATGACTGGAAGCGACCTGCTGATTGATGGAGGCTACGTGTTGCCTTAAAACAGTTAAAGAACGGCATTCGGAAGTATCATGGATTTATTTTACGATGGCGGGTATTAATTAAGAGTATAAATTAGTATCCACCCATACAACGATGATCACCGGATGGAGTTCAAGGATGATTTCATATTCTTATCTGTCTACGTAATCTATATAGTAGAAAAGACTATCTAACTTATGGCAGAAAGCCCGCCGCTATTCGATATAGTTTTTCTTATTGAGAGTCTATAGCTGATTAACCTGCCTTTTCCATTACGATCACGAAAATCAAACTTTGTATATACTGTCGATCGTTTTTCAAGATAGTGTCGAGCAGTCATATCCAAGCCAACTATGCGGATGACAATTGTGAACTAGATTAACCTACCACAACTCGGTCATCCCCATTCCCCAACATTCCAATTCTCTGTTCTGATTGCTCACGATGGAGAGGTGACATCGCTAATGCAGTCATGCTTCCCCTCCTTCGGAGGGCCGTGATCCGAAGAGAATTATCACCTGACTGCGATTACAGTAACAGCCGTGTCCAATACATATATATATTGTAACCAAATTTCATAATTCCAACAGCATCTATAGTTGCGTCTCTGGTCCTTTGATCCCGGAGTCTTTCTACCTTACTTTACACTATGAGCGAGACGGTCAGTATCGCCCTAGCTTTGATAAATACTGGACTGACAAAAAGTTGATAGAACCCATCATGTTTTCTCTATGGTCCCGAAGACGCTCGCTTCGGTGAGAGGCCAATCCCTCAAATTGAAGATCCGCATGATGTAATTGTGAAAATTGCATACACAGGTGTTTGTGGTAGCGATGTGAGTATCAATCCCACAGTCTTCGATATAATGCTGACAGTAGCAGGTTCATTTCTGGACAGAAGGCGGGTTTGCAAGAAAAGTTTCTGAGGAGCATCCTCTGGTGATGGGCCACGAAGCTTCCGGAATCATCTACAAAGCTGGCCCCGCGGTTTCGAACCTCAAGCCTGGTGACCGCGTGGCTATTGAACCGGGCTTCTCTTGTAGGAGTTGCACATACTGCAAGTCCGGACGATACAATCTCTGCCAGAAGATGAAGTTCGCTGCGGATCCCCCGTCAGCACACGGAACGCTTTCTCGATATTTCAATATCCCAGAAGACTTCGCATACAAAATCCCCGACTCTATCAGCCTGGAAGAGGCTGTTCTCGTGGAACCTTTGAGCGTCGCTGTCCACGGTGTTCGTCTCGCCGATGTACGGCCTGGCCATAGAGTCATAGTCCAAGGAGCGGGGACTGTGGGCTATCTGACAGCGGCAACAGCGTGGGCCTATGGAGCCAAGCAGGTTGTCATCACCGATATCAACGCGAATAAACTTGAGTTTGCACAAAAAGGTCTCAATTGCCAGACCTTTGAGCCCCAATTGAGTTCAACCTCAACAACTGAACAGGAAGCTGCTAGGTTGAAACAAGAGACTGGTCTTGTTGACGGCGCTGACGTTGTGTTGGAATGCACCGGAGTGGAATCATCAGCACAACTTGGAGTCTATGCTTTGAGACGCGGAGGTGTTTTTGTTCAAATTGGACTTGGCAAAGCTATGCAGACTTTGCCTCTTCATGCCATGTGCGAGAAAGAAATGGTGTTGAAAACCTCGTTTCGATATGGTCCTGGGGATTTTGAAGTTGCACTTGGGCTTCTTGAATCCGGAAAGGTGTCGGTTTCGTCTCTGATCAGTAGCATTACTCCCTTCAATCAAGCTCCGGAAGCGTGGAAGAAAACTATGAATGGCGAGGGCATCAAGAATCTGATTGAAGGGGTCCAGGATTGAGATGGATGCTCAGGAACCATTGTCAAGTTCAATATCTGGATACAGAAAGTACTTGGAGCCTATCATTGCGTGTGCTTTAACTATATTCGAGTAGAAGAAAAGAGTACCAGTTAGTTTGGGTGTCAGTTACAGATTTCTGTTCTCATCGACGACATTTTCTCGTACTTGACAGTGACACTATTCCCGTTGCAATGCCGCTAGTTCCCATCTCGGTCGACAATATAACATCGACATGACTTATCAAGACGACGGCGAAGAACCAACCTGAATTCGAGGAAAGATGATGACCTAATGAGATAACCCATATCAAGATGCTTTTTCAACAAATGGATGTCTGTCCATTTTTAATTATCTGCTGCAATCCTAGTTCTCCACTTACTGATCCATCCATCGTGTAGCAGAGTTACTAGTGTGTCAGTTTCATTTGTAGCCTGCTTACCACTCCACCTGTTCAGTGGTTCAGTGGTTAGCAAGGATAACTAATCATGACTCAATCGCAAACTCTGCTCCGATCTAGACTCGTATAAGACTAAAGAAATTGGCCATTAACTTCCATGTGAGCTCAACAAGTTATTCATTTTTGCAAGCATAGTTCAGTGATTATGGCCGATACGTCACCAACAATGGCCTCGCTGCCCCGACGGAATAGCCAGCAGGCCAACACTCCTCAATCAACTAGGTCGACTGATAACAATCGCGACGGGGCATTGGTACTACACGCCAATTCCTCGGCCACAGCTTGGTGGTCACGGTTTCGATACCCAGTCATCACTGCTGGGATCGTGCTCTTACTGAGTCCATTCACCTTCTTATGGCCTGGTCAACAGTCGATCGATCCCAAGAATTATGCAGAGCGTACCAAGCGTATCCTCAAGACGACGCCGTGAGCCAACTCTTGATCTTACCTAAGAGGATTGCACTGAAAGTCCACAGTTTAATTGACGGCCACAATGATCTACCGTTCATGCTCCGCCTTGAACTCAAGAACCGCATCTACAATGAACGTTTCGACTTTACTAATCGATTGCTGGGCCATACAGATCTACAGAGGCTGAGGCAAGGCATGGTCGGAGGTCAATTCTGGAGCGTGTATGTAGACTGTGATGAACAGCAAAAACACTTTGAGGATCCTTCTGTGAGTGGCAATTCGTTTGCCAAATTCTCTCTCGTGTTCGACCGCTGCTAATCTCCTCAAAGTGGATCGTTCGAGACACGCTTGAACAAATCGATGTGACTCGACGCTTCATCCGAGAGCACCCCAAAGACTTGGAGTATTGCGATACAGCGGCCTGCGCTAGGAAGGCCTTCAAAGCAGGCCGCATAGCAAGCATGATTGGCATTGAAGGTGGCCACCAGGTTGGTGGCAGCATTGCAAGCCTTCGGCAGATGTACGAACTGGGGGCGCGATACATGACTATTACTCACAATTGTGACAATGCATTCGCTATGGCAGCTTCAACTGTTGCCTCCGGAACTGCGGACACTGGACTTGCAAAGCTTGGAAAGGTAGCCATCAAAGAGATGAACAGGTTGGGAATGATGGTTGATCTATCGCACGTTTCTCATCAGACAATGAGGGATGTTCTCAGTATTGCTAGAGCGCCGGTAATCTTCTCGCATTCTGGAGCATACGCTATTGAGCCGCATCTCCGAAATGTCCCCGACGATGTTCTTCGACAGGTCAAGCACAACGGCGGCATAGTTATGGCCGTGTTTCTCAATCGTTTCCTCAACATGAAGCATCCTGAGCAAGCATCAATACACGATGTGGCTGATCACATCTTCCACATCGCAGAAATATGTGGCTGGACTTGCGTTGGAATCGGTGCGGATTTCTTTGGCATGTCAAATGTGCCTATTGGGCTAGAGGATGTTTCAAAATATCCCAGTTTGATGGAGGTGCTCATGCAGCGAGGTGCAACAGACGAGCAGATCCGTCTGCTTGCAGGAGAAAACATTCTCCGGGTTTGGGGAAATATTGAAAAGAGCGCTAAAGCAATTCAGGCTACAGGTGAGAAACCTGTCGAAGAGGAATATGAAGGACGAGAATGGCATAAGGGATTTTCAACTGATCCCTACATGCTGAGGGGAGGCCTTGAGGAGGCCTTGAAGAATGGGGCCAAGATTGAGGAAGATGTTTTCGATTTAGATGCCGAAGGAAGGCCAAAGATTCTGTCTACTTAGACTTGTCTATAAGAGAAAAGGAAGAAAAAAAAGTCTTATGAAAAACTGTATCTGTTCACCTAGTCAGTATGCAAAACCATGGGGTTCACAGACAGGTAGATCTCAGAACCCCTTCAACCTCTATTTGATATATGCTCCATTGGTTGAGGCTTAGCTATGGATTGATAGCGAGCTGACCATTTAGTGCTCGAGTATCAACCCACCAATTTATATCAATACGGGAATAACGGGTTGATCTCCCGTAATTGGGGGCCTGCTAGGTTAGCTGATGAAGAGTCTGCGGCACATAGTCCGAGATACCTGATTCGAGCTGACCTATTACATGAGTCGAAACGCTCTGGTCTTTGATTTTTACCGGACCTGGGACAATCATTTCTCTGCAATCGACTACACAGAGAGTTGAAAATTCCTTATAATTTCTCATTAGTTTCGCGGTACTCAACCAACCCTGGCTATCCCATTCTGACTATTCATGGCTTCTTCCAACCTCCTGAACTGGCTTTCAAAGGAATCAACCCAAGCAAGTTGTCTCAGTGTTACCTTTAGTTCAATCCAGTTCAATCCAAGTCGTTCAATCGTAGTAGCTATCATATCTGTCATCCAGTTTCTGTCATGAGTCCCTTCGGTCACTGCCGCTATAATAAGTACCCAGACCTGGAGTTCTTCCAACCCACCCCATGACATTTCATAATCTGCCAGTAGGTGTGAAAGTTGAGGTTTGCGATAATGGATGGCGCCGAGTGTGTGATGACTGTGCTCAGCGGCCGTGACAAGAAACCTCAAAGCGGCCAAACGCACGGCTTGGTGAATTAGTGATGTTCCAGAACAATACCCCTGTGGCCCTTCTGATGGTATGTGCCTTGGTACTAGGAGAAGAAAGTATGAGCTATGTAGGATGGTTTCACAGTAACGGAACGTCGACTCCTCCCAGTGTTGAGACGCCTTAGCAACTCTTGTGAGTGATAGGAGAACCGAGCATAAATCTGAAAGAACTGGCGACAAGTCCCTCAGAGCGTTTAGAGTTTTTGACAGAACATGGGTGACTGTTGGCGGCTCAGGCTGAATCCAAAGGTGTGAAGGAGCTGCAAATCTCGGCAGACGGTCCAGAGACAGGCTTCCAATAACATCTGACCTGTGAATATGGACATGGTTAGTTTCCGATCTACGACAAGCTCTAACTGTTGCCTACCAAATTAAAGACAATAACAAATATGATGAACGAATCCTTTCTACTCCTCCGCGGCCGCGCACCAGGGTCTCTAAGCCTGCCAGGTGGGTGCTGTATCGTTCGACTTTACCTATGCTCATCTGTAGGTGGTCAGCAGTGGCTTTTCAGCTATGATCTCAAATATTACATCGTAGTTGGCAAGACCTATAACAGTGATCAAAGTTTCATCAGAAGGCACGCTATTCGAAGTTTGGATCTTTTGGCTCGTGAAACGTAGACTGAGATTGTAGTGCTTCAGCGCAATTGAATCTTCTCGCCCAGAATGCATATCACCTGTATATTCATTGCTATACAGGGCGGTCTCCGCAAGTGCAAGATTCAGAGTAGCCTGGTCGACAAGGCCGATAGCAAAACACATCTCTCTGACCTTGTCGCATATGGACGACTTTGGCCGAAGCACTGTCTTTTGTGAGATTTGATAGTTCACTGTAAATTTTACTTACGAAAGGCTTCCATCATTTTAGCTCTAGTGTCAGTCCTGGAGTAGAGTGTCCGATCTGCGCCTGGCTCAAGAAGCTGCATTGATGACTGGGTTATCGCATCGTGCCAATAATTATCTGGTTGGAAGAGTGTGTATGCCGCATGGGTTTCATGAAGTGCCAAATTCTTTGAAATGTCTGGCTTGTTCCTTAACTTCCTTCTCAGCGTGCTCTTCCTTCTTGATAATCCTATATCTTTCATCACATGCTGATGAATTTTGCGCTTGTTGTGCTGGTTTTTGACCTCATCTGGGTGGCTCACGCTGACAAACTCGAGCTTCGACCCGATCCGAGTCGAGGGAGGCATTCTGAGGACCAGGGGAGATGTGGTAGTCGATTTGTTCTTTATGTGTACGTTCTCATTAATGTCAGACGATATGTGCTGGTGATCGTTGTAGATAAGCTAATAGACAACTTTGTTTAGTGCATTCTTGATTCGTCAGCAACTTCCACGTCAGATCCAGCCACGAGAGGACTCCAAACGAATCGCGATAAGGTCACGTCGAAAAGCATGCAGAAAGTGGGTTCATGATTCTAGTTCTCTGGGTCTAGAGCAACTGAGCAAGGCAGCAAGTATGGTTTTCGGTATTTAATATTGAACCCCTGGTGAAGCAATCTATGAGAGGCTCCAATACATACATAAGTTTGATCTGCAATGACTCGGCTCGCTAGAAAACACATTGTGATACTTTTAAAGCAATCGTAAGCTCATCACTGGCCTCCATTCTTCAGAGTTTCCCCTGCATGTTACCTCTCAGCTCAATCCATAATGTAATCTGACTCGCCCTTGAACCAACATCCTGGACACTGTATGGATTCTCCTGTGTACCAAGACTCTGCTGCTTCATTGGCGGCACATCGATCCACAGACCGAAGATTCTTCTCCCTTATCATCTCCGCCCAGTATCTTACTCCTGTAGGTCGGTAGCGAAGACAGTCGCAGCACAGTGCCATTGTCCGTTTGGGATGACCTTTGAGAGTCAGAGGTCTCATGCGCTTGAGTAGGTTCTTGACATGTGAACAATAACGTGTGCTGGAGAACACATGGCTACTGGCTGATGTGATGTGGAGGTTGGTAGACAAACAAAGTCGATAGAACAAGGATTTGCAAGTGAGTCCAAGACAGAGTCTGTCTTCGACCACGATATAGGACGTGATCTCGAGCAATAGCTCATTCGGAAGAGTCTTGAATAGCGCCGATTGGTCTCGTTTGATTTGCAATAGCTGTATGGTGTTACTTGTCCGTTCCCCTTGAATATATTGGGCTATAAGGTCGTTTCAATTGTCAACCACGTACCTTTTGTGGAACAACAAACGGTGCGGTAGGACACACGGGCGGGCGCATCTGATCATTGTGATAGTAATTTGTGAAAGCCATTTTGCTGAACAACGAGTAGCTGCCGGAGAAGCTAAGTTGATGTTTAGGGAACAAAATTGTTTACGAATGTTTCCCTTGTTGTAGCTTGTCAAGATGAGAAAAATAAAACAGACCTTCAGTGAATAGGTGTTGGTATCTTCCGAAATCAAGGTGGATGCTGAAACTTGCTGGCACTGGCAGGCTCCTCATTTTGATGCTCTTACTATCGGATGACTGCTGCCTATAAGGTTAAGCTTTGGGCTGCGAACACAGGTGATAAATGAGCACACGATATTTTTCCCCCGATATAAAAGCTTTTACCCAGAGGCTTTACGATGACCAATAAATATTTGATGCTCTTACATTCTAGAACAGTAGACGGAGTTCATATTTTCATATTCCAATCGTCATTATAATTCCTTTTTGAAGCCTATACTCAAGCACTTCTTAGCTTTCAAATATACAAGCACCACAAAACTTAAAAAGAAAAGACCATGGCTCATAACGCATAGCTCAATAACTGGTAATTCTCAGTGAAAAATAATACCTCAATTTCGACTATACTGTTCATTGAGTCTCCAATACATACATCAAGAAGTGCTACGACAGCAACATGAATATGGCGGAAAACTTGGCAACTGAGCTTCCGCCATTCAAGCCAAGCCCAGTCGTATTATTAAACGAAAATGCATGATAATAACTAAAGAATCCATTGCGCCCAGAAAATAGATCATGAATAAATACAAGATGCAAGCAATCAGAGGCGGCTGGGCGAACTTGGCGGAGCTTGTGCACCGTTGATCTGGGGTAGGCTGTTGATAGATGCGGCCAAGTGACAGCAGTTTCTTATCAGAACGACATCCGTCTTTATTAGTCAGAAGCTTGTTTCTTGGCTTGCTGGGATAGCTACAACATACATTGATAGAGCCTTGGTAATAGTCTTGGCCAGCAGTAGCTCCACCTGCTGAATGATGTGTCGGGGACAATGACAAGGTACTGGCTGTAGCCTTCTGGAATAACAATATTTATCGAAGGCATCAATACTTTAAAGTGCTAAAAGATGTTAACCTGAAATTAGTGGGAAAGTGAAGTGACTCTGAGCTAGGATTGTACGGTATGTAACGCATCCAGTAAGAAAGAGGCCAGGCTGAAGCCTCAATCTCAAGTTGCTGGTCCCGCATGTGACAGGCAGTTTGAAGTATTGCGTAGCGAATCTGATCTGATTTCTTCATCACCATTAAGCTTCAACGGTCTCAAATCTATGTCTTGGTTCCGTGCATGCCAAAATCCACGTTTCTAAAGGCTTAGCATCAGATACGGTACAGTCCCACCAAGGCCCTTGGCTGCGTCTAATGCTGTAACACCTCGGGCGTAATAGGGACTGATAGCCTTAGGATACGGCCAGTTTGTCACTGTGCATCAATGCCTCCTTGGGTGCTTGGCAAGCTGCAAGCCAAGTCACCGGCCGGTTTAAGCTAAGAGTTACGGAGCGGAAGTTGGCCAAACGGCATTGGATCTTGGCAGACACTCTGAGTGGATGATCGTTCCGAGATCTTATCAGTTATAGATACTATGCCCAGGGTTTCACGGAATCTGACCGTTGAGAAAAGAAACAAGACTATTACTACTAGTTGTCGATCTCAAGCGGTCGCGGAATAGGGTCGACTTAGCCGCCGTTATAAATGCAACTCGCTCGGACACAGGATACGAAGGCCTGCATTGTTTAGGTCTGGTCACTGTCTCACAGACTACTGCACAAAGTGATCAGCAGCCGTTATTTCCTATACCTTATGCACAGAGTACAAAAAACAGTACGAATGGGGTTCACCTGGGGAAAACGCGGGGTCTGGGGTTACAATGCGTAAGCCATGCGCAAAAGCAAAATGAGGTCCTCAACAAACCAATGGATCCCTACCAGTCTCATATTGCTTCTTTTCCGCTAAATTAGTAAGAAAATTAGTTGCAGTATCAGACACTTCAGCAGTGATTCCCCTGCTCTGGTGAACCAATCGGGGGATTTGATAGCTCGTTACCCTGTGTTCTTGGTATCACTTACATTGTCTTTGTAGCTCAAAAAGCAACTGTAGCTTATTTAGTGGAATCTTTTGTCATAAATTCTCCTCCAAGCCAAGGCAGCCCGAGTCTCAACAACAAGCGCTTAGAAAGACGCTTCAGTATCACAGTTTGCGTTGAAATGGACCCGGTCAGCACGGCCGCATTTCACGCAATGCTTCAAAGAATGCTCAATGGTCAATTTCTCTGCTTATGCTCACCGAGAAGTCGCACTACTGGAGATGTGCAGGACATCAAGATGCTTCTCGTTGGTTGCTCGGCGTTTGGATCGCGCGTGCCGAGTGCTGAGGCCCGAAGCCGCCACTTCGGCTGTGCCAAGTCTCAACGGAGCGGAAGGTGGAGCACCGCGGCGGAGCACGTGACTCGTACGACTTTTGTCTTGGCATCAAGGGAGCGGAGGTGGAGATGGAGGCGCAGGCCGTGGCGGAGGAGACTGGGGTTCCGGGAAGGCCGAGAAAGTGTAAATGTACTGTACACGGGGCAATGAACGCGAAGAAACGAGGAACTTTTGATAGTTGATAGGAGATATGGTTCCATCAGGAAGTCAATCAAGAGGCTTGTGGAAGAAAGATGGTAAAGAAATATTCGACATCGAAATGATGACAGCAACGATCGAGGGTGCAAACTCTGCTTTATCAGTGCGGCGTGTCTCACCACCAACCACATAACTAATACGTGCGAACAAACCCGATCCAAGAGAAGAACGAAAAAATAGGCGACTTTTGACAAGCATCCATTCTTTCTGTTTCTCGACGTAACATGAACTGAACACACGGCGCCTGCCAAGACGAGAAGTGCTGCCACTATTGGGCAATAGGACAGAGAGTGTGGATCAGGTGATATGATTGATTTTGAGGAAGGTAGCCGATAAGCTTAGCGCAAGTGCCCAGAACCTTAAGTAACATAAGCGCAAGGTTAGTTGGTCCTAGAGTGAGGAGCCGACAGGGTGTGGCGATTCATCAGGCCAATGGACAGAGTCCAATGTCTACAGCCAAGCCAGCCTCTTAACTTGTTCCAGAAACGAGTGTCTCTGCCAAGGGCTCTTTCTCTCTCGTTGATTGCTATTTTTTCTTTCTTGTTACCCTCTGTCTGATCCCCCACAGAAGATGCAGAGATACCTATCCGTAAACTCAGAAGCGATCAGAACATCGCTTTGCTGGATCGTCAGACGAGATGTGGGGGCGCGGCGCTCGATAATTCGGCGTATCTTGACTTGAAGGTCCGAGGATTGATTGGATACGCGTCATTGGTCAAGCGCCAAGAGCCGCCAAGATAGAGTTGACCCTTTGAGGTTATCACGACGACCGCTAACCCTAGGCGCCAAGATGTGATGAACCAGCTGAACCTTGATGCAGACATTCTTGCCTTCGGCGAGATGGCGGTTTGTTGAGCAATCACTAGCTTGCGACTTTTTTCCTTGGCTCTTTCGTCTTGGCTAAGATGGCATGGCATGGTACAGCATGGTCGAGCATGGTCGAGTACCGGTTGATGCTCTTGGACGGTGGTGGAATGCCGAATGAGCTTTCAGACCGAGTAAGAGAGCTGCAAAGCATAGCACCCATGGTCCAGTGGGCACGGTTGGAGTTTGAGACAAGAGATGGGCATCTCGTTCATAACAGTGTTGCATTGGTCATGTTCGGTATGCTGCCATGGCTCTAACAGAGAGCTATGACCATGCTCGCATAGCAATCGAGGCCATGTGTCAACGGTTTGGATGCCGTTGGAACAACCGGTTCCATGATGATCAAAAGACCAGGGGAATGTTGGAGAAGTGCAGTAAACTTGACAGACCTAGACGTTGACCTCGTGAGAGGAGGATCCATCCATGAACTCGGCGACCATGCGACAATCCAAGTCTGCAATGCACACCAATGACCTCACCTCTCAATTAGTTATACGACAAGAGTACGGATAGCAACAGCAAGATTTCTCTTGTCGCGCAGTCTCTCCTCCGTCTTTGCACCCATTGCACGTTTGCGCAATACGCCAAGCTGCCAAGACGCCAGGATCCCCACTACACACACCACCAAAACAGTCTCACCACGATAGGTACAGTACGCTACGCTACTTTACCATTTTTACCGGCCTGCTTTTTTTTATTCATTTGGGGTTTTAGGATGGTAACGCGACTGGGGTCTGGGGATGATAGAACCTGGAAGAAAAGTACCGAGAGATTGAGAAGAATTTTGCGACATGCTTCCAGGTCCTGTCTGGTGTTGCACCCAAGCTTACACTGTTGTATGGATAGACTCGAGACTGAGCATAGAACAATCTCTACCGATGTTAGCACGGCACTTGGAGCGTAAAATACGGTCCATCACTGGAATTGACGTCACGGGGCCGTCCGTTTGGTTTCTTCTCCGTTCCGGGGACGGCCGTCGACGATATGTACGGCACCTGATTTATAGCAACACGCCACACCTAACTAGGTAGCCAAGGTAGGCTGGCTAGGCTAAACTCACTAAGAAAGTGCCTACAGTAGCACTGCATTTTGCATTTTGCATTTGCAGGCTGAGGAGAGGCTCAACACCTGTCTACAGGGGTTAGCCATGGGGGGAGTGTGTGGGGAAAATAATGAGCTCTCCAAGTCCGGTGGCGGATCTAAACCGCTGCTCAGGTTCGGGTTCGGGATGGTAGACCAACGCCAAGAAATCCCGAGCCTGGCAACGACTCAGGTCCGCGATAACATGAGCAATTACGGTGCTCTCATGGGGCTTTTTCCTAATTATGACGGTGCTCTTGTTTCTCGAGATTTCTCCCTCCCTCAACTATATATGACCTCGTCCCCCGCACCCTGCCAAGGTCCATTTCCCATAAACTCCAAACTTGTCAATCACATTCGTCGATTGTTCTCTAATCGAATAGATAACATTTACTTATTCATGCCTTGAAGCTAGTTCCTTCATTGTTATCACTCTTTTATCCGTCAATGAAGTTCAAGTAGTCAATTGACTCCTGTATACATCACCATCCTACCCACCCATCAATACACACCTCGCAGCGACCGTCACTTATACCCAGAGCATAGAGTACACAAACAACAGTTTAAGCTCTCTTCTCGCGCCCTTTCCTACAGATCCTGGTCGCCAATCTCCAACCCATCGACCATGGCGGCCGAGTACCCCAAGCACCCGTTTCTCCTCACAATTGAGGAGACGGCGCAAGCTCTCGACACCAGCATCGACAAGGGCCTTACCAGCCAGCAAGTAGCTGAAGCCCAGCAAAAATATCCCAAGAATGAGCTCGATGTGGGCGGTACTGTGCCATGGTACAGTATTTTGACCAAGCAGCTGCTCAATGCCATGATCATTGTAAGTGGCACTCCCCTCCAAACCCAATTTGCCAAACTAACCCGCCACAGGTTCTTGCATTTGCCATGGCTCTGAGTTTCGGTATTAAAGACTACATAGAAGGTGGTGTGCTTGTCTTTGTCATCGTCCTCAACGTCACCATTGGTTTCTGGCAAGAGTATCGCGCTGAGAAGCGCATGGATGCTCTCCGAGCTCTCTCCTCTCCCAGTGCCATGGTTCTTCGCGATGGAAAGACTCAAGTTATTTCCAAGTAAGTTTCTACTGCGCAGAGTCAAAATTGACTCAAAACTAATCAATGGAACAGCCCCGAAGTCGTTCCCGGTGACATCGTCCTCCTCAAGATGGGCGACACCGTCCCCGCCGATCTCCGCCTCTTTGAAGCCATGAACCTTGCTTGCGAGGAAGGCCAACTCACTGGCGAGTCAATCCCCGTCGAGAAGATTACCGAAAATAATATCACCGCTCCCGGAACAGAGAAGCCTGTCGAGTCCGAGGATGAGATCGGTATTGGTGACCGGGTCAACATGGCATATGCCACCACCGTCGTCCGAAAGGGCCGTGGTCGAGGTATCGTCACTGCTACTGGTATGTCCACTGAGGTCGGTAAGATTGCTGCCTCTACTTCCAAGAAGACTCGAAAGGCTGGCCGATCTATGAACTACAAGAAGTACGGAAAGCGACAGCCCTTTGTTGGTGCTTCCAAGCGAACATGGGATGTTATCGGCAAGTTCTTGGGTCTCACTGAGGGAACCCCTCTCCAGCGAAAGCTTTCCGCTCTTGCTTATGTCCTCTTCGGCTGTGCTATCATCCTCGCTATCGTCGTGTTTGCTGTCAACAAGTTCGACATGAAGAACGAGGTTATTATCTATGCCACTTCTCTTGGTATCGCTATTATCCCCGAGTCCCTGGTCGCTGTCTTGACCATCACCATGGTCGTTGCTGTTACTGTAATGCGCAAGGCCAACGTGGTCGTTCGAGATCTCTCCGCCCTCGAGGCTCTTGGAGGTGTTACCAACATTTGCTCCGACAAGACTGGTACTCTCACCGAAGGCGCCATGATCGTTCGCAAGGCTTGGATCCCCTCTTCTCACATCTACACTGTTCGCGACTCTCAGAGCCCCAACGATCCCACCAAGGGCCGAGTCACATACTCCAAGCAGAGCGATGAGCCCGAAGAGAAGGAGGCTCCTCGTGACTACGATCGCGAGCGTAGTGCTGCTGTCCTCAAGTTTGATGTTCCCGATGAGAAGCTCAACCAGAATAATGCTCAACCCAAGAAGCCTGAGCCTGAGGTTGAGTGCGAGATGACTGATGAACTTCAAGCTTTCTTGCTTTCTTCCGCCCTTTGCAACTTGGCTACCGTCCGATACGATGATGAAGAGGAGAAGTGGCAGGTTACCGGTGAGCCCACCGAAATTGCCCTTCAGGTCTTCACCCACCGCTTCAACTCTGGAAAGAAGACTCTTGAGGGTGAGGGCTGGAAGCAAATTGCCGAATTCCCCTTCGACAGCTCTATCAAGCGAATGTCTGTCATCTACGATGCCCCCGAGGGCGCCAAGGGTTCCATTATCGACACTGTCAACTCAATGGTCTTCACCAAGGGTGCTGTCGAGCGTATCTTGGATCTCTGTGACTACGCCGGCACAGGACCTGACCAGCAGCCCATGACTGATGAGCTCAAGGAGAGTGTTCTTGAGCAGATGAATAGTCTCGCTTCTCAGGGCCAGCGTGTCCTGGCTATCGCCTACCGTCCTTGGGATGGTCGTTTCACTGCCAAGCAAGCCTCTTCTCCCGCCGAGGACGAGAAGCTTCGAACTGAGGTCGAACAGGGTCTTATCCTCCTTGGTCTTGCCGGTATCTACGATCCTCCTCGCCGTGAAACCAAGCCCTCTATCGCCGAGTGTTCCAACGCTGGCATCCGAGTTCATATGCTTACTGGTGATCACCCCGAGACAGCTAAGGCCATTGCTAAGGAAGTCGGTATTATCCCCAAGAACCTCAGCGTTCTGCCTGATCACGTCGCCAAGTCCATTGTTCAGAAGGCGACCGATTTTGATAGAATGACCGATGAAGAGATCGATGCTCTCGAGGAACTTCCCCTGGTTATTGCCCGTTGCGCTCCCGACACCAAGACCCGCATGATCGACGCTCTCCGTCGTCGTGGCGCCTTCATGGCTATGACTGGTGATGGTGTCAACGATGCCCCTTCTCTGTCTCGTGCCGACGTCGGTATAGCCATGGGTTCCGGTTCTGATGTGGCCAAGTCTGCCTCCAAGATCGTACTCACTGATGATAAGTTCAACTCCATCGTCGCTGCTATCCGTGAAGGTCGTCGCATGTTCGACAACATCCAGAAGTTCGTCCTTCATCTCCTGACTTCCAACGTTGGTGAGGTTATCCTCCTGGTTTGCGGTCTTGCTTTCGTCGACGACAGTGGCTTTTCTGTGTTTCCCGTCTCACCTCTTCAAATTATCTGGATCAATATGGCTACTTCGTCATTCCCTGCCTTCGGACTGGGTCGCGAGCAGGGCGCTCAGGACATCATGCGCAAGCCTCCTCAGGACAAGAAGCGCGGTGTCTTTACCAACCAGATCATCATTGATATGATTGTCTACGGTATTATCATGGGTGCTTGCACAATGTGCACTTTTGTCATCATCGTCTATGGTGCCAATGGCGGTAACCTCGGCTTCGAGTGCAACCAGCGATACTCTGAGGAGTGTATCCCCGTGTTCAAGGCTCGCGCTGCCACTTTTGCTGAACTGACATGGCTTATCCTCATCTCTGCTTGGGAGTTCAAGAGTCTGCGCCGATCCGTCTTCCGCCTCAACCCTGACGACGACAGCAAGTTCCCCGTGTTCAAGGACATCTACTCCAACCGCTTCCTGTTCTGGTCCGTCATCATTGGTGGTCTGTCCGTCTTCCCTGTCGTCTACATTCCCGTCCTCAACCACAAATTTTTCAAGCACACTGGCATCACTTGGGAGTGGGCTCTGGCTGTTGGCTTCACTGTTGTGTTTGTTGCCGGCATTGAGCTCTGGAAGATGACCAAGCGACACTTCCATCTTCTTGAGGACGCTCCTGTCCGCCGCGGTGTCTGGGGCCAGGGTGGTGAAGACGGTGGTCGCCTTGCTCGAACCATGTCTCTGTCCAGCTTCAAGACCTGGGCATCTTTCTCTCGAAAGGACACTGGCGAGTCTCTCGGAAAGCGAAGCATCTCTCGTGGACCTACCGATCGACACATTGTGCCTCAAGGCCTTGCAGCCACCGAGGCCTGATCTTATGATTTGCATCTCTGATGATAAGAATATTTAAAAGGGGGTGAGGGAAGTTTGGGAAAAGTAATGAAACGGGGGAGAATTTGTGGTCTCATGAAATGAAGAATATTTTGGACGGATGGGAAGGATCATGACGAATCTTAATATTGATATCACTTCTGCTTTTAGTTGCATTATTCCGCCCTCATAAAGGGTATAGATATCCCGCTGCCCAGCCACAGAATGCTGGTGCAAATGCATTACATGCCACTGAACCATTTTTTCGTTCCTACGTGATACCTTGGAAACAAATATGTCATCGTCTTTAAATCTTTAATTTATCCTCTACATGATTGTTTTCACCACAACAGCCAGTACCACCGCCAACAGGCCCACGCTAGGTAAACTCACTTTTGAATGCGAAGCATTGTTCTCACCAGTCGTATTAAGTCCCAAGTATTGAGCACCGATGGTTGTCAGACCACCACTGTTTGAGAGGAAGGCTGCATTAGGTCCAACATTGGATACATCTGAGCGAAAGGCACCGAAATAGGTGTATCTCCCAATGAATTTTGACTCGTCAAACCACTTGAGAGTCTGCTTGAAGAATTGTTCTGTCGGTTGGGGGTCTTGGTGCGCGTAGGCATATTCTGTGACCCATATAGTAGAGTTGGGCCATCTATCAATAATATGTTAGCATGTGTATGGGTTACAGAGAGGGGAGACATACTCGGCAAGGCGTTCACCGATGTGAGACGCAAGACCTTCGAAGTTGTCGTACCAATGCACAGGAAGATAGTCCCAGGTGCAGTTTGTCTTAGGCCGCCCTTGGCTCTTGATCGCAGAACAATTTCCCAAGAATTGCTTTAGCCATGGCATACTACCCCATCCGCCAGTGCAAGCAGGGAGACCCAGCTTTACACCCATCTCACCCAGTGGTTCAAAGTTCGCAACCCAAGCCTCGGCAGCGACCTTGGGGTCGAGATTGCTTCCGCCGACATCGTTACCAGCATCAGGTTCATTAAACCCCAGGACATGTGTGATTTTGACTCCATCTTGCATCAGACTCTTGACATTTTGAAGGAACGTCGTATCGCTTGAGTCGGATCCTACACCCCACATCATTGGTACGAACTCGAATTGTTCAGGAACATCCTTATATACAGCAGAGGGCTTGTCTCCATAGTTGTAGTACCAGGTGATATCGCTGCCGTTCTGGACCCAGATTTTGTCGTCCTGGGGCTTCTCGGTGTTGGGAACGAAGCAAAGCCCTCTCTTATGATCACGGGTGGCGTATGAGAGACCGGTAAGAATGAGAGCCAGGAGATGCTTTGACAGAGCCATGCCCTTGTTTGAACGTGAGGTTTGTTTTGAGTAGTAGCGGTGTTTGATTCAAGAAAGGAGAGGCAATAAGCTAGGTTCCAAAGGTCGGTGTCTCGAATGGAAAGTTGGGACTGCTCTCCTCAACTTTTAACGGTCTTTGACGTTGCCTGATGTTCTGTCCCAGTGGCGGCTAGGTTAAACACAAATTGGCACCAGCTAAGTATGAAAAGAAAGTATGGATGTTCAGCTTCAGGAGATTTTCGGAAAGGTTGGCAATAAAAAGGAGTGACGAGTCAGCCAAGGACAACAGAGATCGCAGCCTTGGCGAAGAGAACGAAAACCGGCGCGGCCTTGACTTATAGAAACATTCAGTAAGCATTTCGTTCCATAATTGTTCTTGATCCATCAAATAACCTGAACAGCTTGTAAGCGGTGGCTTCTGGAAAGTCGCCGAAAATGGATGTAGTATGAAGCTATCCGATCTACTGGTTGGTTTACATGGCCGCATCGGGAAGATAGTCTGTCGAGCCAGGGTCCAGACATGCAGAAACTAGGGACTTCCGAGACACGCTTTATAGAATCCAGTGCCCTTATTGGATCATCGTGATGATCCAGGAACAAGAGCGGCGCTAAGCCACGCTCTCATGGGTTGGGTACCTGTCAAAACCGATATAATGAAGACTGGACCAGGTTTGTGGGCCCATTGTCATCTAAGAATGGGCTGGCGTTGGGATGCCAACCCCATGCTTCACATCATGGACACTCACTCTTCACTGTTTTAGCCTGTGCTCAGTCTTCTTCAAGAATGTCAGAGAATGACACATAACGGAGAGAGTGGAATAGGTCGCAAGGCATGAAGTAGGGAAAAAGAGTGTCATTGAAAGTGAGAATCATCCGTTGAGCCAACTGCATGTTGAGTTTTTCTTTGCATTCCAGTCGTTTTTGATGGTGAATTAGGTTGCATGAGATCTCAAAGCAGAAGATGCTGTCCGGTCGAAGCGACGTTCTGTATGGAGCGTATATACAATGCGCAGGGTAATGGACAATTGAGTACTAATATCGTGACGAATAAGCAATAATCAAACTCCGGGATCTTTTCATGGGGTATTTGCCATGCCGAGATAGCTAAAGACGGCTTTTTCTGAAGCGGCTGTTGGTATGTTATGGCTTCTCGCCGAGGTCGCTGATATTATGTCATCAAAGTGCCTTATGTAATAGAACGAAACCTCGGGAAGTGGTCAGTCTGGGAAGTGCTACCTCGGCTTAACCCCACACAATTTGATGCGCCGTCGCAAGTACCGCTGCAACTTCCGTCGATGTCTACCCCAGACCCCTCCCATGATGGACTTCGCCTCGGCATCCTTTTCTCCTATTTTAAAGCCAACTGCGCTGTCGCCTCGACTTGATCATTATCCAACCTGACACACAAGTCTTGACGATTCACAGCACAGCACAGAATCAGAATATACACACACAATGGCCGCTGAACGTATTGGTTCCATCATCAAGCACCTGGCCCCTGGGTCGGCGCTCAACAGCATGTGAGTGGCGATCGCTCGAACGCATTTATTACCACCGAAACTAACAATGCCATGATAGTCAAGCGAAGAACCCCGATGACATTGTCATCACCTTTGCTGCCCGAACTCCTCTCACAAAGGCCAAGAAGGGTGGTTTCAAGGATACTTCTCTCGAATACATGGTGTATGCTCTGCTCAAGGAGGTTCGGGAACGATCAAACCTCGACCCTGCCCTTGTTGAGGATATCTGCCTTGGAAACGTATGTCGCAAACCCCATGAGCCAAATTGAACTCTCCTAATCAATTATCTATAGGTCTCCGATGCCAAGGCTGCCTACAAGGTTCGCGCCTCTGCTCTCGCTGCTGGCTTCCCCAACACCGCCGGTGCTTCTTCCGTCAACCGATTCTGCTCTTCTGGTCTCAAGGCCACCGCCGATATCGCCCACTCCATTCTCAATGGTTCCATCGAGATCGGTATCGCTATGGGTGCTGAACAAATGACCATTGGTGGCGATGCGCTCGAGAAGCCCTTCGACGAGGCTGTCACATCACAAAGCCAGGAGTCTGTGGATTGCATGCAGCCCATGGGTTGGACCAGCGAGAATGTCAGCAAGGACTTTGGCGTCACTCGCGATGTCATGGACAAGTACGCGGCTGAGAGTTTCCAAAAGGCTGAGGCAGCGCAAAAGGCTGGCTTGTTCGCCGATGAGATCGTCCCCATCACCACCAAGGTCAAGGGCCCCGATGGTCAGGAGAAGGAGGTTACTCTTACCCAGGACGAGGGTATCCGACCAGGCACTACCGCTGAGAGCCTTGGCAAGATTCGATCTGCTTTCCCTCAATGGGGTGGAGCTACAACTGGAGGCAATGCCAGCCAGCTTACTGACGGAGGTAAGTTTATTCTTCTCGATTGGAGGAGCATCTCACTAACATTTTTATAGCTGCCGCTGTGTTGCTGATGAAGCGATCTACAGCTATCAAGCTGGGTCAGCCTATCATGGCCAAGTACGTCGGTTCTACTGTCGCTGGCCTCGCGCCTCGCATCATGGGCATTGGTCCTAGCATTGCCATCCCCAAGCTTCTTGCCCAGCACAACATCTCCCTTGATGATATTGACATTGTTGAGATCAACGAGGCCTTTGCCTCCATGGCCGTTTACTGTCAAGACAAGCTTGGTCTGACATCAGACAAGCTCAACCCTCGTGGAGGAGCTATCGCTCTTGGTCACCCACTGGGCGCTACAGGTGCTCGACAAATCGTCACAGGACTTTCTGAGTGCAGACGGCGAAAGAAGAAGATGCTGTTGACCAGCATGTGCATTGGTACAGGCCAGGGCATGGCTGGTCTGTTTGTCAACGAGCAGGTCTAAAACAGACAGTGCATGTCTGAGATATTCTAATTATGTAACACCACCAGATCTCGATATAAGCGAGACAGTTGGGGGATGTATTTATGATTTCGAGCGATATTAGCAAATTGGAAAGCATAAAATCTTGTCTTTAATTAGATTTCGGAGTTAAATAAGTTGACTAGTAAAACGATTCCGGAACGGCCTGTTGTCTCATCAAAGTGTATCAGCCAAGGGAATTGATAGCGTAATATCATGAACTTTGGTGGTGATAATTTTATACCCTGTGGTTTTGCAGCTCGTGACCGTTTTGTTGTACATTTTAGTAATGACAACCCAGAAGTAAGCTCCAAGCATCTACGTACCATGTATTGACCGTCTTCTTCTTTGTAGATATTATTCTTGGAAAAATACTTTGCGGCCGAAGTCGGGTTCCCGGCATCAGCTTCACCCACCATAAACGTTAAAGCAGCAGGGATCGCTGAAAAACACGAGATCAGCCATTCGCTCACATTCCTCGAGAGGGCGGTGGGAACCCCCGCTAGAAGTCACCTGGGGCTAGCGCTCTGATGTCACCGAACAGCCTCAAAACGCAGCCAGAAGTTGGGCTTGCGTGGGTGGCATTTGCCAACGGTTGCGTCTGATTGGCGGAGAAGCTTGGCTAGATCTGAGATTGATGCTGACGATTGCACACAGGGAGTCAAGGGACCTGCCCTGGCTGATACCTTCCACGGGAATGGAACCCTTGGACTTGCACTAGGTACTCGTGCTCCTCATCTTAGCGAGCCATGAACTTTTGATCTTTTCTCTTTTGTTTCTCAAACTTTTTGTCTTTCACCGCAAATTGATTTTGCGTGATCGTTGGCTATATAGATTCCATGCATCCGTCTTCATCGTCAGTCGCGTCCTCTTCGTCGCTTTTCTAGTCGACTTTCATCCCTCGGCCTTTGTCGACTTGGCTCTGCGCCGGAAACAGGAATTTCTCTTGAGCCAAGCTTGGGCATAGCTTGGGCATAGCTATTGAATACTTTGCTGGATATATGCAGTTCCTTAGACTTCAATTCCGAATTCAACCTCCATCAAACGCAAACTGCGACTCGATCGAACTCCACGATCATGGCCAGCCGACCTTCCCATAGTCGTACCAACTCGGGGACCGATCACCGTCCTACTCAGCCCAGTGCTCTCCATCAAGCTCTGAGCGCTCATGATCGAAACGAGAGCGAAAGCCCGACCGCAGAAGGTTCGACGACTCCCACGAGCGTCCCGGTCGCATCCCCTCCAGATTCGCCAGGACATCCTCGGGGAGCTACAATAAACGAGATATTCGCGAGCGAAACAACGCCTCTAATCGACGGGAACAACCAGCGTTCAAACACACGTCGAGGAAGCGTTCACCCTGCCCACCCTGGTGTCTGCAGCCATGGCACTTTCAGTCCGCGACCCATGAGTCCGACCTTGACTATGAGGAGCACCGACGAGGATGGTAGCGAGACTGCAGGCTCGGGCACACACATTCCTGTACTAGACAATGCAATTACGACAATCGTGGGCCATGAAGACTGGAAGAGGTGGTTAAAGAAGAGAATGCGAACAAAAACAATGGGCCATAGCAGTATGCTGGCTGAACAAGCTGGCTTCGAGGATACGGCATTCATGTAAGTGCTCCAGTCCCTCCAACCTTGAAATGATATGCTGACTTCTATCAGGTATCTTGCGTACTATGTCCCCTGCTTGAACTGGATGCGCCAGTACAAGCTCTCATATCTTCGTGGCGATCTTGTTGCGGCCATTACCATGGCTTCGTTCTACCTACCAATGGCCCTCTCCCTCGCTGCAAATCTCGCCCACGTCCCGCCGATTCACGGTCTCTACGCTTTCGTCTTCAATCCCTTCATCTACGCCCTTCTGGGATCCTGCCCGCAGATGGTAGTTGGCCCTGAAGCTGCCGGCTCGCTTCTTGTGGGAACTGTTGTCAAACAAAATGTTGGTTCTGGAGAAGACGAAGACAATGACTTGTTGCATGCGCAAATCTGTGGAATTGTCGCTGGCATGGCTGGTGCTATGGTACTCATCGCCGGCCTTGCGCGATTGGGTTTCATGGACAGCGTTCTCAGCAGGCCTTTTCTCCGTGGTTTCATCAGCGCAATCGGTTTCGTCATTGCCGTTGACCAGTTGATTCCTGAGTTAGGACTCGCTGAACTGGCTGACGATGCTGGCGTGAGCCACGGCAGTCCCGTCGAGAAGATTAGGTTCATGATTAACAATATTCACGAAGCGCATGGTTTGACGTTTGCCATTGCCGGAATTAGCTTCCTGGTCATCATGATCTGCCGGTAAGTGGCGCTTTGTGACTTCATTTCTAATGCGATTCTAACTGTGCTTTTAGTGAACTCAAGAATCGTCTTCAGCCTCGATATCCAGGCGTTGCCTATATCCCAGACCGTTTTGTGGTCGTTGTTGTGTCTGCAATTCTTTGCTGGCGCCTTGATTGGGAGAACCAGGGAGTTGAGATTCTAGGCACAGTCAAGGCCGCCAACGGCCAGCTTCTTGCCTTCCAATGGCCTTTCAAGCTCGAGCATATGCCACACATTCGAAGTGCGATGGCCACATCCTTTCTCATTGCACTTCTTGGATTTTTCGAATCCTCGGTAGCTGCAAAGAGTCTGGGCTCAAGTGAGACTATTCAGGGTATTCAGCTGAGTGCCAACAGAGAAATGATTGCGCTCGGTATCGCCAACATGGTTGGTGGATGTTTCATGAGCCTCCCAGCTTTTGGCGGATATGGACGAAGCAAGGTGAATAAGAGCACCGGAGGCAAGAGTCCCGCCAGCTCCATGTTTCTGAGCATCATCTCTCTGCTATCCATCTTCTTCCTTCTGCCCTACTTTTACTACCTGCCAGTGAGTACCCTATGAACCTATCTGTATCGCATGGGCTAATATCACCTAGAAACCTGTCCTGTCAGCAATGATCTCTGTCGTCGCCTACTCGCTGATAGAAGAGGCGCCCCATGACATCAGCTTCTTCTTGAAGATCCGTGGCTGGACTGAGCTGGGTCTTATGGCTGTTATCTTCCTTGCAACCATGTTCTACTCTCTCACACTTGGTATGGCATTCGGTGTAGGATTGTCGATGCTTATGGTTATCAAGCATAGTACGCGACCACGCATCCAGATCCTGGGTCGAATTCCGGGGACAAATCGATTTGAGAACGCGGAAGGCGACAAGGCGAGTCTTGAATTCATTGAGGGTTGTCTCATCGTCAAGATTCCAGAGCCTTTGACTTTCGCCAATACAGGAGAGCTCAAGTCCCGACTTCGTCGACTGGAGCTCTATGGTACATCGAAAGCACACCCCGCTCTGCCTCGCCTTCGCAGTACCGACATGAACCGAAACGTCATCTTTGATATCCACGGTGTAACTTCCATGGATGGATCTGGTACGCAGGTTCTGACTGAGATCGTGCGCAACTACCATGATCGAGGAGTGCGGGTTTACTTTTCTCGATGCCCAGTTCGCAAAGACCACCCTGTATGGCGATTGATGTTAAGCAGCGGCATTGTGGAAATGGCTGGCGAGAGACACTTTGTAAATGACGTGGAAGAGGCATTGCGTTTGACAGAGTACGAAGAAAGCATTGCTGGTGAGTCGAGCCGGGCGCAAGAGCCCTAGAGAATTAGATAGACGAAAAGGGAGAAAACGGTGTTTGAGGGGGTCATGATGCATACCTGGGGCTCGAGCGTTGTTGATGTCGTGGAGGAGATACCATTGCAGGAGTTTTTATAGCACAAATTGAGATTATCATTAGAGCCAGCGTTAGAGCCAGCGTTAGCTTAACACTGCTACACAAAACAAATATATATGGGTAGTTCTTGGGTAAAACTTTGGGTTCATGTTTGACTATATACACGGTGCCCAGTCTCCGTGATCCATGTTGATGCTATCATGATACTATACCACAACCCATAAAGCTTTCGAAGATGCATTACAAGCGGGGGTGCAATCAAGGAAGATCACAGACCCCTCATCTATCATGCAGTTACCTCATGGCGAGGTCTCACATATCACATTTTTGGACAATTGTGTGTTGGTGGTCCATGTAACTGCATCCCTGCTTCTGTAACCTACAAGTACAAATGGAATGAGGGATATATTCGCCAATGAAAGTTATTAGACATGGCAGCAGTTGTATAAGATAAGAATGGGAAATTCTTATGATGATGAGACAAAAAGGATACCTCAAGCGACTTTAACAGAATCATCCCAGCCGAAGTCCCGGTTAGTGAAGAGTAAACAGAGGAGCGCTCGGGAATAGTAGAGAGCAGGGATTTTGGCGATCATGAGCCGTTGAGGAAAGTCAAAACCAAGATCCATGCCGTGTAAATGGAGAACAACTCGAGGCGAGGTAAAGTACGTCCGCAGTTGGGAGGTTCTGGGTATGTAACACTGTAGTCTCTGGCGAATTGGCGTGACAGATGAGAAAAGGACAGGGTCTTGATGCATCATGCATCCGATACAACCTCGCCTACCGAGGCATTTAGATCATGGCTTATGATGTGACGAAATTCTGAGGCACAATAAGACGTCTTATATCTCTCTTTCTTCTGTCCATGGCTCTGTCCCCTTGAATGCCCGTTTCCCGATTCGTTTTCTCTTAGGGTCGAACCAATCTAGAACTCTGAACAACCAACACGCAGTGGACTCCAGATCTCTAAAGTTACCATGGCTGAGAATGTCGAGCAGAGGCAGAAATCACCGTCAGAAGCCGATCTGGCACCCATAGAATACGTCTGTTGATCCTCCCAATCATAGGATCGTTACCAACCGTCGGGCATGCCACTGACACGTTCTTTGACTTGATAGGATCCTCAAGTTGTTGGTAGCATGGAAGATGACAATTCGACTATCAGCAGTGGCAGGTAAGCTATCACTTGTGTCGCATGTGCCATACAAGTACGGCAAAACTGACTGTACAACCAGCAGTCTTCGAGATTCGACAGCATCCATCACATCGAGCATCCTCGAATATAGACACATCAACGGCCGGCCCTTCCAACAGTCGAAAACAACAGAATACTGGTCAGCCAAGCTTATTCCGAAACGAAACTGTTGAGCAAGTGATCTGACCATATCTAGGGCGCCTACGGACGATGACTATCAAGAGGGACAGGATATACTGTGAGGAACCCCGATTGCTGAAGAGTTGGAGCATGCAATAACCTTTATTTTGAAGGCATCACTACACACTGCTGCTATTCGACGATAAGCTTCACCTAGCTCCCATCGACAAGAATCCTCAGGTACGAACAAATGGAGGCCAGGTGCAACAAAGCTAATTCACTTAGAAAATCCTCGACATTGGTACCGGGACTGGAATATGGGCCATGTAAGACCCCCTTCAGCTATCGAAATCGAATCTCTAACAAGTCCAGTGACATGGCCGACGAGTATCCGTCTGCAGAAGTAGTTGGGACAGACATTTCAGCCGTTCAGCCTGCATTCGTGCCTCCAAACTGCAGCTTTCAAATCGACGATGCCCAACTCGACTGGACGTTCAAACCGGATGAGTTTGACTTCATTCATATCCGGTATCTTTACGGTGCAATCGACGACTGGAAGAAACTATACCGTCAAGCATTTACCCACGTGCGGCCAGGAGGTTGGCTCGAGAGTCTTGAGATCGACATCGAAACACACAGCGAGAACCCCAAGATCGAGAAGGACGAAGGCCACATTTTCAAGAAATGGTGCAAGCTATTCTTTGAGTGCGGCCGTAAAACTGGTCGAACCTGGGAGATTGCGCGGGATGGTCGTCAAGAGGAGTATATGCGAGAAGCAGGATTTACAGATCTATTTTCCAAATCGTGGAAGCTGCCTGTTGGAGGTTGGCCTCAAGACAAGAAGCTGAAGCAGGTTGGTCTCTACAATGGAGCCTTTATTGACCACTCCATCGATGCTTTTGCAATATTCCCGATCGGAGAGATCCTAGGTTGGTCCAAGGAGGAGGTTACGGTTCTGGTCAGCCAGATGCGAAAGGCGCTCAAGGAGCCAAGAGCATTGCCCTATTTCAATGTGTGAGTACAATGCCAACTTTATCGATAATTTATCACAACTGACATCGGGAAAGTCGTATAGTCTATGGTCGAAAGCCTGAAAGTAGTCCCAAGACTGCTTGACACATGCATTACGTGGTTAATTTGATCAAGCCTGGCTATATGTCATTTTTTACTACGACTTAGTTCCCTGGTATGCTTCATATCTCTTTCAACTTGATGGAATGCGTCCAAGGACTTGATTCGTACAAAAGCCCAGATAACCTCGAAGAGCGCCCACGATCTTTAGGTTGCTAGGGACGCGGACATTCAGTTTCTGTGCAGATACTACTACTGTTTAGCAATGTTTAAATCTTCGAAAGAATACAGGCTCACATGATGAGAGATTCAATCGAAGAACATCCGCTTCTATGTTATCATTTACTATAAATATTACGTGCTTTACCTTCTACTGCCAGAGTCATCGCCGACAGCCGCATCTCGTATGAGGTGATGATATTGATTACCACTTGCCAGAGCAACTGTGGCGTTGGGCCAAGACCGAGAAGATCCATCTGATGGATTCAAACAGTTGGATAATTCGGGGAGTTGATCATATCATATGACTTCGTCCATATTTTCTCCAGTCAAGGCGCCTTGACCAAGACTAGGTAGATATCTGCAACTCCCCGTCGCAGTCTCCACGATAGTCACTCTATCTCAGCATCACGAGAGCACTATATGTTGGGACTATTTCGGGCCCTCGACTACAAAGATTATAGAGTCGCAACAGCGCCGACAGCCCGGAGTCACCGAGCCCTGCATTGTGAAAATCACTGCCATTCCCCCGGTTCCCCCACGGTGTACTGTAACAATCCTCGACATGCATTACAACCTCTCAAATCATGACTCTGACTTGCCTCGATCCACTCGCTGCTCAAAGAATGTCGGTGCCTGGCTCTGAATCGCGGGCCCTAGCAAAAGACGTCATGAGCTAGCAAAGACCAGGCTGTTGGCTTGGCGTTGTAATATTTCCCTTGGGGATATCTTTGTGGTTCGATTAACCAGTCATATTCTTCTGATTCGGCACCTTTATTGCCAAAATAGGCAGGCAAATCGTAAGAGAATATTGGATGGGCTGAATGACTTGGCGACAGTCTAGACAGTGCATGTATTCATGTCTCTCGGTGCGGGTCAAAGTTTACACAATGTGGTCTTGTTTTGACGAGCTCAACTGTTGTAGACTCATTTTAACATTTAAATTTATGACCAGTAAAGTGCAAGGGGTGATGTTGTCGATGATACGTGACAGTCAAAGTGGAAGTCATGGAGCCATGGGTGTAAGTTATCTCCTACGTAAAACCAGTTAATTCCCCGAGACGAGACCCAGCTTTGATTAGTGCCAGTTCCTCAGGACTTTTCGCTTTTCAGACCGTCTGAACCGTTATCATCAAGCCTCTCCCCCACGCCTCTCGATCCTTTTCTATCCAATATTACCACAAGTGACGTGCTTGGGCACGGGGTTGCCGCAAAACCATGTGACATGCTGTACACTTACATGTATCACCTGGCATGAGCCTCCAGCTGAAGCTTGTCTTGATCCTTTCCTTGCGTGCGTTTGGCCAAGAGAAAAGTGGTTGGTGCCGTCTTACCCTCCGATGCCAAGACACGAGACACTGGGACCCTTGTATATGGCGCAAACAACTCAAAAGACGTTTGGAAACCCGGAAATAAGCGTCGAAAGTTCAAGTTTGTGTTATGCTTAATTTTAACCTCATCTGACTTAATTGTGGCTCTCGCCAACACTCAACTCTAGTAATATGTCAACCTCATGTAAGAAGGGAACAAAGTGTCTACCTACAGTCAAGAACTGATAATGTTCCTCTGCTGCTGGCTATCATCTTGCAGCAGAGACATACCTAGGTCAGCATCACCCTCCCACGGCCGGGGCCCCAACCCGCCAAGTGTCTGGGCACCTTGGCAGCGGAGTCTTGTTCGCAGACTCGTTTCTTGTCATACGAAGCCAAGCATTTCAATGGAGTCGGCCAAGTCGATCTTGTCCCCGGCAGCAAGTAGCAAATCCAACAGCTCCCCGTCTTGGAGGGGACTGAGGCGATCCTCCGATAGTCCTTGTAAAAATGTAGACTCTTGGCTCGTCCCTGATTTTATGGAGGAAGTATCTGCAATAAAAGCAGGCTCGTCCGCGCGTGGATCCTGCTCTTGTGAAATAAATTGTCCCAGTGTCTCGGGTTTCTGGACATTATAGTCGAATCAGGGTCTCTGAGTTTTCTCATGTGAAAAGTTCACCTCCTTGTGGAACTCTCACCCAATGACTACCGAACCTTGTTACTGAAGACGACTCAACCTAACAAGTTCATCTCCTCCTCGCCCCCGAACGTATCAACTTCATTATGGCGATCCCACCAATTCTCAAAAAGATCGGCCAAAAGCTCTCACCTCCACCATCAACAGCTGAAGATGGCCGTGATCAATGGAATTCGAGAGCTTCCTTCTTACTTGCGGCCATGGGAGGCTGCGCCGGTATGGGGAACCTAATTCGGTACCCTTCACAGGTGTACAACAACAACGGCCTCCAATGGTTCATTCCATATCTCATGTGTGTTTTCCTGATTGCCATCCCAGCCTTGATTCTCGAAGTCAGCATTGGTCAAGCATACCGTGGAGGTTCTGTCGTTGCTTTCAACAACATCAACCACCGTCTCAAGGGTCTCGGCTTCAGCCTTCTATACATCGGCTTTATGGTCAGTCCGTACTTCGTCGTCAATCTGTCCTGGATCATGATCTACTTCCGGAACTCGTTCCAGAGTCCCCTGCCTTGGGAGGGCCGTGCTGAGGAATACTATTACCAAGGCGTAGTTCAGAATGTTGATGCGATTCCTGGTAACAAGACGTCGAGTGGTGTTATAGACTACGTCAAATACCCTAGCACTGCCCTTATTGGAGAGACTGTTGGATGGACTGCATTTGTTTGGTTCCTTGTATGGATCTCCATCTTCCGCGGCATTGGCCAGACAGGTCGTGTTGTCTATTTCACCATGGGTCTACCTGTTGTCTTGACTATCATCCTTGTCGGTCGCTCTGTTTCGCTTCCTAACGCTGGTCGCGGTGTAAAGCTGTATTTTGGAGAGTGGAACGGCGAGAAGCTGGGATCCGGTGACATATGGCAGACTGCAGCTGGTCAGGTCTTCTTCTCAACTGGTGTCGGTTTTGGCTATTTTAGTTCTTATGCCTCTTACAACCAGAAGCATGCCAATGCTGTCATGGACTCGTGTCTCATTGTTGGCAGCAATGTCCTCTTTGAGGGATTCGCCGCGTTTGCTGCGTTCGGAGTCGTTGGATACCTGGATATGATGCCAGTCCCTGGCGAACGAATTGGTGCATTTACCATTGGATTCTTGACGCTCCCCACGGCTATCACTCAGCTTCCTGGATCATCATTTTGGGCCTTTGCACTCTTCTTTACCCTGGTGGTCCTGGGTTATAGTTCTGCATTTGCCATGGTTGATGCCGTGGTAACGCTTGTCATGGATACCAAACCCAAAATTCGTCGCGAGTGGGTAGTCACAGGCCTTGTGATTATCTCATTCCTGATTTCACTCCCTTTCTGCACCCAGTTTGGATATGCTCTTCTCACTGGAGTTGACCGGTGGATCAATGATGTTGCTCTAGTGTTCGTTGTGTTTGGCGAATGTGCATTCTCCACGACCTTCTACCGTTGGAGAGACGTTGCAGGACAGGTAGGAAAGCCAGCCTTTTTTATTTGGAACTTTGGGTACTTTGGAGGCATGGTTCTCGGAGTTGCTGTTGCCCATGCGGTTCAAGCTGAAGCGGGTGCTGGAGTTGGCTTTGGCATCTTCATCATCTGCTCGATCGTCTCTTGTGTAATTGGCAAGACTCCTGACGAACTTCCGCCTGCCTTGACCTTTACCGAGGATAAGGGGTTTGTTCGCCGATTTATCGGCAGAAGTCCTGCCATGTCGAAACTCTTGGACAATGTCTTTATGACACGCTTCTGGTACATGGCCTTCTACTCAGTAAGTTCTTTCACCCGGCTTGTTGTGCGTAATGACTAACAGAATTCATCAGGGCCAGCAACTTCGACGGGATCTCAACGTTATTGTCGCAACTGGAAAGAACTGGAGTATTCCCGCCTTTTGGCCACTCCTCCTGCGCTTCATCTCGGCGCCTGTGCTCGCCATCATCTACGGCTTTGCCTATCCCGCTTTCTACGAGCTCCGTGATGATCCCCTACATATTCTTGGCTTCGGTCTTGCCCATATCTGCTTGGTACTGATTGGACTGGGAGTCCTCGTGCCCCGCTGGTACAACACAATTATCCCTCCCGACCAACGCGAAGAAGGCAAGCTGCCTTATGCTCCCAATGTTCTTTTGGACGGCGAGGAGCCTCGAAGAACTGATTCGATGGAGACTGGCGAGGGACCTGCAGGCTCCGAAGGCGGTGAAAGTGAAGAAAAGGGACAGAGTGTGATGTAGTTTGGCGTGAGAGTGGATGACAGTTGACATTGGATTTATTGCGTACACGGAGGAAGGCAAAGGACTTGCCCCAAGTATCCTATATATACTGTAGCCAGGTCCTCCCAAAAGGACTTTGATGTCTGCTTGTTTCGTCTGTGCATCAACTGAGAATGCCGAACACTGAGAGTCGTAGATAATCTCCAGGTCTAGAAAAACGGTGGCGGCCCTTAAGGACACGGGATTGTTGTTGCTGAGATGATAAGGCACTGCTGATGGGCTGCACATGAACTGTTGGTGTTGAAGTTGAAGATCTCTTGCTCCAATAAAGATTGCAGTTGGGGGATCAGGCCCAGAAGTGAAGATACGAGTTACGAGAAAGGGAATGGAAACTGCGGAGTCCCCGCTTCTCCTGTCCACCTTCTACCTTAGGCAGGATAGATTGGATGTTTCAGCGACACGACGTCATTGACACTTTTTTGTCTGAAACATCTACACTTTCTAGGAAGGTGGGAAGAGTCTGTTTCGCAGAGATCGTCGTGCCCTCTGGCCAATCAGCATTTCTTAGCCGGACTCTCGCCTACGATGCCTCTGTCTCTCATCCAATTGTGTCCTCAGCCCATGCTCACGTTTATATCTAAGCTTAAGCCGGTCAAACCTCCGTCTTTCTTGTACGCCGTTGTCAAGATAAAACAAGCCACCGACGCATCGTCGACAAGCATTCCTGCTCAATGATTCTACAAATCACGTCATGCAGGGATTATTCTCACTTCCGCGAATTTACGGATAGACAGAAATGAGATGCATTCATGCCCTGGTTGGCTGTTAGGAGCCAGAACACTTCACCGATTGTTCTAGGATTCACCTCCCGGGAGTTAAACTCAATACAAAGGCGATATGTGTTTCAACAGGACCTGTACACCCAAGATTTGACTCATGTACCTTCCAGCCCGTACGGCCGACGCCTGAAGCCGCGACGGACCGAAGACGCCAAGCATGATCATCAACGGCTATCCCCACGATCGCCAGGGTGGCATGCCCCCTCTTGAAGTCTAATCAAGAAGAGCTGAAGAAGATCGCCGGCAGATTTCAAGTTCGTATGTTACACTTACAAGAAATGTGCATGCAGAGCTGAAAACAGAGGCAACTCAAGAACACTTTCGATGAAACACTTTCCCAAAATGATGCTTCGGTCTGCTGAAATGGGAGAGTGGCATGATATGTTGAACTTGCCCGGGTGTTACACGATCATGATCAACTCGAAACTTGAGTCTACACCCAAGGCAGTGAGTGGGACAAGTGTCGATCTTGGTCTATACTACTAAAACACTCGTGGTGCAGGAAAACTATATAAGATAGCTACAGGTTAAAGAAATCGAGACCTTTCTTCCCCAATATCTTCAACCCAACATATAACTACTCCAGCCCTTAAAACCATCAAAATGCACTCCTCAACTCTATCCATGTTCTTCACCCTCCTCCTATCCTCCCATTCCCTCTGCGCTACCAATGAGCCCTGTTACGGACCCAGCGGTCGAGCAGGTGTATGCATCACTGAAGCGTCTTGCACCTCTGCTGGCGGCACTGCCATCTCTGGTGCATGCCCTGCAGACGCTGCTAACATCAAATGCTGCTCCAAGCCAACATGTTCTTCAGGAAACTGCCGCTGGAGCTCTGATTGTGCGGGCACCTCTGCTAGCAACCAGTGCCCTGGACCTGCGCAGATGAAATGCTGCTCTTCTGCTGCCACAGGCTTCGGGGGGTATTCTGCTCCCACGATCCCAGCTGTCGGTGCTTGCAAGCAAGTTTCTGTCAACGCTGCCAAGGCGGTGGTGAATCAGTTTCCTGGTAGGATCAGGGAAATTGGATGTAAGAGAGACTGCTCTTGTCCTGGATCTTCTGACCATTGCTGCGGTCTTGCAACTGACTTCATGTGTTCTGATGCCGGCGGTGTAAGTGCCCATTTCGATCATCTTCTAGACCAAAACCTTGAATACTGATGGAACACAGTCTGCTACCCTTTCTGGAAAAGAAATTGCTGAGTGGTGCATGAGGAACCGCAACACTCTCAACCTCAAGTATGTCATTTGGGGACAGAAGATCTGGACTACCTCTGTCGATAAGACTGAGAAGAACTGGGAGAACTGGCGAACCATGGAAGATCGCGGCGACTTGACTCAGAACCATTGGTAGGTAACTACTGCATCAACACAGAGGTCAAAAAAGTTAACAAACTCTAGGGACCACGTCCACGTCTCTTACAATGGTTAGAGCCGAAACACGCGAGAATAGGGATCTGGAGGTACCTGTGGGGGCATCTTGAAAACATCTGACGCCACTGCGATTTGTACAAAACATAAGTGGTCGTCTTGATCATTCAACATCGAATTCTTTCTACCCAAAAGTCAAATAGCAATTTTCAACACCGTCTGAAGTGTAACTACCTTGTGGTATCTCGTCTAATATCTACCCTCAACGCCAGGGAACGACACATAACTGTCTCCATGTGTAATCATAATGCCAAGGTCAAGTCCATCATCCATCAAAACGCCGAGAACGAAGATCCCACCAATTTTAGCCGCCAAATGCTTCATTCACTACCTCGCCCTCATCTGGCGTCACCTCCAGTTCGAGCAACTCATGGGCTGCCTCAACTGTCTCTCCATCGATCCCGGCCTCCATCACTAAATCTTCCTCGGCAAAAGCAAGTCTTCCTAGAGCGAGAAGGTATCTTTGGCTTCCCCCGTGAGCCATTGAGAGCTTCTCGCTAATGTCTGCGAGATTGGCGGTATCGGGGCCTGTCACTAAAGCATGTATCAAGAAGACGCATTGTGAAATGATCCGATATAGACCAGCCGAGTACGACGTCGTAGTTGATCTCTGGCGTATATCCTTGGTCTCGGATGTTTGTGGTAGGATGTTAAAAGGGATAGGCTGGTCGTACAGCTCGTCTATGGACATGCTGAGGCAGGCCACAAGGCGAGGGAGAGCGAGACTGTGAGACGCAAGCTCCTTAGCGCCAAAAGGATGGCGTGAAAAGGCGATGAGCGTTCGCAAAGCAGCCAAGCATAAAGTAGATTTCTCATGGCGGGTAGTTACTGATGGGTGGTAATCCGTAAGCTTGTTTGTAACATGGTTGATGACATGACTAGCCACGTGAGTATCTTCGTCGTCTGTAATCGGACCTATTGAGTCTGGAAGTGCAGAGGTTGTCAGGAGCTCGAGCATGCCCAAGATATCAGAAAGCTCTTGCTTTGGGCTTAGAAGTTTGTAGACCATGTCGGGTTTTATGCATCGCCAAAAGACTGTCGACTTGGGCTTGATTTCATCTTCTGTCACATCCATTGCAGTGGAGCAAGCTAAAGCGCTTGTATACAAGACTGACAAAATATCAATGATCTTTATATGTTCCTTCATCGACTGGAAGTCATCGTTCCTCAGCCGTCGTTCACCCTCACGAATGCGGTGCTGCCATTCAGCCAAAGTGCAGATGGTGGCTTGCGCGGGAGGTGTCAGATTCGGCAAAACGAAGGGAACGACTTCTGATGCGTGGAGTGAGAAGATAAAGGAGATGATCGAGAGCAAATACTTGATCGGCTCCCAGAGCTGCTCCTCATGACAGCGATTCCACATGTTGACCATAAGATTTGCAAAGTCCACAAGGAGCTGCATCGGTCGATCAGGACTTCCCATCAGAGGTATTTTTTGGAATATTATGGCGGAAAGCGAGGTATCTTTGTCATCTTTGAAGGAGAAGCGAGACAAGATGTCCAGTGTTGGGCGAGGGGCTCCATGATCGAGCACAAGTGGTAGAAACTAGAGACGATAAGCATAGTGCCAACCAGCCGGGACGGACCTGACAAACCTCAAAAAGGACAGCTGGTGGTGGCGCTACCACAAGCGGGGGTTGGTGTACTGGAGCCTCTGGCTTCCCAGTACTACTGGCGAAGCTGTCGGTGTGAGTCTCCAATGCCATGATAGGACTGTCAACAGTCGGTCGTTTCCTTTTTCCTTTGCTAGGTGTTCTCTCACCGACGTGTAAGGCAACTGAGCCAGGATTTCTGCTCCGTCCTTGGCCCTTACTTGGACTTACAACAATATCCATCTCATCGAACCCATCCGCAACCCATGACTTGTTTGCCTTCTTGGGAGTCGTAACTCCTGCCGAGGTTCCAACAGCGGGATCCTTGCGGCGAACTCGATCACTGACCTCTCTCATGTCCCGCTGTAGAAATTGAAGTTCCGTGTTGGCGTTCTGTTCAGCGGCAATAGCTGCCTCAGCAATCCTTTCCTGTTTCGCCAATTGTTCGGCATTGATCTTGTTCAGACGAGCAACCTCTGCAGCGTGCTCCTCGTTCGATTTCACAAAATTGGATCGGACAATCGAAGCTTCTCCCAGAGCTGCTTTGAGTTGATCCTCGAGGGCTCGAACTCGCTGCTGTAGTGCTGACAAGATATCGCCAGGTTGATTCTGGGACTGTTGAGAGGCTCCTGGTCTGTTTTGTGGCACAGCAGGCCGAGCAAATTGACTCGGTTGAGCACGAACGAAGTTGGAGCTCTGGGTCTGGAACTGCTGAGAGGTGTACATGGGCTGGTGAGGTGGTCCAGCATTGTAAGGCTGTTGAGGGGTTTGGCCCATGGGCCGCCGCTTCGAAGGTTCGACAATAGGGTTCCATCGTGGATTTGGGGGCGGAACTGAACGTCGAGAGTCCAAGTAGTAGCTTTGAGATGACTGGTTTTGTTGGAAATTGCCGTCTACAACTGGCCTCCCAATAGGAACACCGGCGTCATTCGTCACTTCGGTCGTATCGAGGTCATCGTCTTCTATCCAGACTATTTCTGGGGATTCGATGCGTGGGCGCTGTGTCAATGGCTTCGATTGGGCTTGGGCCTGCGTGAGTTGTATTGCGTTATCCTCGAGCTCCTGGAGGGCATTGGCAGGGATGTCGTCGAAACCGTCATCGGAGAACTCGTCGTCGAGATCCATCTTTGATGGCTGTTTTCATATCAGAGGAGAGATCCATTGAACAAAAATACAAAGCTTGTTATTGTCGGCGCATCTCGAACGGTATTGTCCTTGATCACGGTTTCGTCGTGTACTGGGGTGGAAAGGATTTACGAACGCGTCGCGAGGTCACGTGGGAGTTAAATTGTGGCTGCTGTTTGGTGCAGCCACTGTCTGAACAAGTGAGGCGCAGTGTTGCGGAGTTGATTTTTGAGCATGTGAAGAGCCAAGTGCGTCATTGACCTGGTCAAGCTCCCAGCTCCGACGACTGGTGGAGAGATTCACCAGTCAGTCAATCAGTCCCTTGGACCCTGATGATATACACAGCAAACACACAAAAACAACTATGCTCGCGGGGCATTGGGCTATGCTTGTAAAGAAGTTGCAGACTGAGACACGCGTATAAGATATGCAGAGAGCGACACGATAGTGGAGGTGTAGGTACTCGCGCATATTACGGGCTTGTTCTTTGCAGCAATTAATTCAGCTGTCACTCATGGTTGCTGGGCGTTTCTAGTTCTACCACGCGATTATGGTCTTTGTTAGGGCTTCTTGTTGCTCAAAATTACCGACATGGGACGAATCTCAACAGATCTATAAAATGGATCCCAAGAGACGGGGGTTTGTCCCACAACTAATAAGCCCCTGCGTCTGGGGCAGCTCTCAATTTCCCAGTCGTCAATACAGATCCAACAATGGGCATTTGCTGCTAAGTCTGCAAAGCCCATACCCAAGCAAAAGAGGGAGCCCGGATATACATTAGTTACGAGGTTACCTTTCTCGGCGGTTTCTAAGAGTCCGTTGCCCGCTCATTTGACGCAATTTAGATCAAGCCCAAGACAGGAAGAGACGGTGGAAACCCGCTGGAAAGGCCGGAACACGTCAAGCCACAGCCGCAATGGCCGGGTGGTCGTTCAGGGACTCGATTGGTCCCTCAAGGGATTTTTGGGGTCAGATTTGATCATGCTGTTAGTCTGCATTGCGTAGGAGGTGCTGTAGCTCGTCTGTAGTTTACTTGGCAGAGCCAGAGGCAGCGTCACTGCGTAATACATAGCGACCGCACCCAATCTGCCACCCACTTTTAGCAATGCTATGGATGGGTGCTAGGTAGGCTGAGCTGTAGACCGGGGCTAGAAACGGCTTGACTTTTCAAACCACCATTTCCTGTTCTTCCAACATCGTCACAACTATCGCGACAAGTGAGCTCTTTTGCCCACTCGACCTCGCTCCATCTTTCGCTCCTTAGAAGCACTTCTCCCCCCGGCAGAATTTTGAGTTCGTCCCGGCTCAGCTTCTTCCAATCGTGACGATTTATTTCAACACGAAGCGAATTGTCGACTCCTGACCCCGTAAACCCACGAACTTGACCCAGGTCTGCGCAACGACGTCACAGGTCGCTTGGAGCAATTTTTTGGGAACAGACAACTGTCTTCTTCACCACAGCTTCACTCACTGCTGCAATCGCGTCAGCGACTCGAGCATCTCGCCCATTCGTCAGCCGACGACAACCTCATTGCCAACATTCTTGGCAATAGTCAACGATAAAAAAACCTCCAGCGCCCATTTCAGCGCATTCACATACCAAATATCAACAGAAATGGCTCGTCCAAAGAGAGGGGTTAGGTTCCCCAACCGTAACGGCTCTGATGGACGAAGATCAAGCTTCAGCAGCGAGGACGGTGGCTCTCCCACCAAGCTCAAGTCCCAATCTTCGGGGCAGCTGGAAACAGTGGACGAGGTAAGCAGACTCAAGGTCTACTGTTTGACTCGAGGCATTGTCTGTTCGTACCACATCTGAGCTAACAGCCCTCACAGAAGCAGCCCGCAGTTAGCGAAAAGCAAGCCGAGTACGAAAAGAAAAAGGCCAACTTCATAACGCGCACTTTCTGGACCTTTGTCATGTTTGCGCTCTTCTTCGCCGCGCTCTTCATGGGTCACATCTACATCATCTGCATCATCACCGCTATCCAGATCGTCTCCTTCAAGGAAGTCATCGCCATTGCCAATGTTCCCAGCCGCGCCCGCTCCCTGCGATCTACTAAGAGTCTCAACTGGTACTGGCTGGCGACTACCATGTACTTCCTCTATGGCGAGACGGTCATCTACTACTTCAAGCATATCATTCTGGTTGACAAGGTCCTGCTACCTTTGGCTACTCACCACCGCTTCATCAGCTTCATCCTCTATGTATTCGGTAAGAAACTCGCTCCCTAGGCTGGACTCTCCAGACTAATTACGAATAGGCTTCGTTTTCTTTGTCACATCTCTCCAGGCCGGACACTACAAGTTCCAGTTCACCAACTTTGCCTGGACACACATGGCCCTGTACCTCATTGTAGTCCAGGCCCATTTCATCATGAATAATGTCTTTGAGGGCATGATCTGGTTCTTCCTGCCCGCCGCTCTGGTCATCACCAACGATATCTTTGCTTACATCTGCGGTATTCTCTTCGGACGCACTCAACTCATCAAGCTGTCTCCCAAGAAGACCGTCGAGGGTTTCGTCGGCGCTTGGATCATGACTATCATTTTCGCCATGCTCCTCTCCAGCATCATGATGCGATCCAAGTACTTCATCTGCCCTGTTAACGACTTGGGCGCCAATATCTTCACTGGTCTTAAGTGTGATCCCAACCCGGTCTTCCTTCCCAAGACCTACGAGCTACCCGAGCTGTTCTTCCTCCCCGACACTGCGAACTTCTCCGTTACTATTGCTCCCATGCAGATCCATGCCCTCAACTTGGCTACCTTTGCCTCTCTGATCGCTCCCTTCGGCGGATTCTTTGCTTCAGGTCTGAAGCGCACTTTCAAGATCAAGGACTTTGGCGACTCTATCCCCGGACACGGAGGTATCACTGACCGCATGGACTGCCAGTTCATCATGGGGTTCTTTGCTTATATGTACTTCCACACCTTCATTGCCATCCACAAGGTCAGCCTTGGCAGTGTTCTGGAGACCGCAATTACCAGCCTCAACCCCGATGAGCAACTCGAGCTCGTCAAGGGAATGGGCCATTATCTCCGAAACCAAGGCATCCTAGCTGAAGACGTAAGTGCCTGCTTCTGAGTCTTTGCTACATCTTGCTCACAAACGACAGGCTGTCACTTGTCTCGATAAGCTCCTGCCAGCAAACCAATGAGTTCTCAACGAACAACTCAGGTCTTTTACAAGGCACATTTTGATCATATTCGAATGGGTATATAGCCCCTTTTCCACTCACCTTGGCGTTTTCCTTAGTCATAGAGCTTTAACCTGAGCTGTGCGTCTCCTAGTATTATCGGGGTCTGTACGGTTCAAGCCAACTATTGAGCTGTATTGTTGGGTATCGGGCAGCAAAGACTTTGTGCCCTGGTTTACAGGCGCTGTCGGTATTATGTAATGAGCAATAATGTCCATATTTCGGGGGAAGGGTGGCTGTGAGTATAGACTCTTGTTGACGTGGTTTAAGTCGTCAAAGCCTGGTGGGAAATTCTACAAAAGTATTCAACATCCACTCTAGAAGTATTGCAGATTATATGCATCATGTGTATGATTCAATCTACCTGTAGTTTCCGTGCGCCACTCGATGCGCCTCTATGTTCTGTTTTCCATTTTCAATCTTGATCCTGTACAGCTTATTCTTACAATCTTCTTCTTATTCGATCTTGGTCTCCCAGCCGCCTTCAGCTTCGAAGATTTTACCGACCGCCTTGCCAACCTCCAAGAGGTGACGGTCGCGATATCGTGGTGCGACGAGTGAAAGGCCGATGGGCATGTCATGGTCACCTTTGAAGCCTGGCACATTCAGGACTGGGACATGAAGGCCCTACACGATCGTCAGTTATTGTAATATTCGTACAAAGTTTGACACTTACGCTCCACATGGCGCAGAAAATATGGCTTCCTGTACTCTCTAGACCAACTGGGGCCTCGTCTGGTACACTCGGCGTGATGATGGCTGTATACTGCGAGGCAATGAAGTCGAAAACAGGCCTCATGGCAGCCAAACTGTCACTAGCCATCAGTTGCGTCTTGCGAGTGAAATTGTCGGAGTTCTCAACGTGCTCAATCAAGACTTGGCCGATTTGCTCCTTTCCAACTCTATACTCTGGTAGGAAAGAGGTACGGCCCTCAGTATGAAGACCAATACGATACCATTCTGGCACCTCGTCGAAAGCCGAAGGAAGCTCAAGCTCATTTACTTCGGCGCCATGGGATCTGAGAAGATCTGCAGCGCGGGCGAGTGCGTCTTGAGTTCCAGGACCAGCCATGGGCCAGATGCTCGTCTTACAGATTGCGAAACGTGCCCCTGCGATGCCTTGAAAAGAGCGATCTTCGTCTTCATCATCTTGAAAAGCAAAGACGTCGGCCAGAAGGACCAGATCTTCGACACATCGCCCGTACCATCCAAGAGTGTCATACATAAGAGCATATATCTTCTGACCTTCGCGAGACACTGAGTTCCAGGTTGGTTTGAACCCATAAATCCCATTGAATGAGGCAGGACGAATCATGGATCCACCTGTCTGTGTCCCAAGGGCCATGGGGGCTTGGAAATCGGCAACGGCAGCTCCAGAGCCGCTGGATGATCCGCCCGGAGTGCGTAGAGGGTCATGAGGATTGTGAGTCTTGGGGCCGACGTGGATAGCAGCAAACTCGGTCGTAGTTGTTTTGCCTAGCCTGTTAGATGAAACTGTGCAAAGAATATATAGAATATAGACATACCGAAGATGAGGGCACCAGCATGACGAAGAATCCGTACGGAAGCAGCATCCGTCTCAGGAAAATGGCCATCATATAGTGGCGAGTTGAACTGAGTAGGCATGTCTATACGATAGTAAGCTCCGGTCATAGTGTTGGGGACAAGTTTGGCAAACGAACCTTTTGTGTAAATGACATCCTTCACAGCGATTGGAAGTCCATGGAGAGGTCCTCTATTTTTCTTAGGGATCTCATCTAGAAGTCTTGCTTCCTGCATGACCCTCTTCTCGTCCAAGTATGCCCAAGCTTTGACGTCTTCATCGCGTGCCTTGATCCTTTCAAGCAAAGACTCGGCATACTCTTGAACTGAAAGCTCATCCGCCTGGATCTTCCCAAGAGCTTCAGAAGCCGTGAGTTTCCATGGCTCGATATGATGAGTTTTGGAAGGAGACATTGCTTTTTCTTGTTCCCTCTACTATGGAGTCTTGCTTTTGCATACAACTAAATAGTGTCAGGGAGTTCAGACAGTCTAGTCTTATTTCCAATGCCCCGCGATAGTGAACCTCAACACTCAAAGTCAACATCTCAGAAAGGATTAAATTAGAGAGTCTCATATGTTATATACCTTTTTTTTGTGTTCGCCTCTTATAAGCAGCTTGTGCTTCGGGCACTAATGCAACGTCTCTATTCTGTAGGCCGGTCGGTGAGAGTCCGTAGCCTATAGGACGCATGTGCGGAAGGCCTCAAGTTGTTAAACAGCTCGTCTCCTGAATCCGGGCACTAATGCAGTACGGGCCGAGCTGCCAACGGATACTCTATCTCGATATGGTAATGGACGTAATTGTGGACTTGCTCCGTCGTCCGTACACCGAGACGTTTTTCTGTGTAACTCGGAGCAGCCCAACGAGAAGCAGAGTCGTCTCGTCGAGGTCGTGATTGGATTTTCCGGTAACTAGCCGATGTGAGGCGAAGTTGATATTGTCGAGACGAGATGAGGGTTGGGAGGGACAGCATAGAAGGGTTGTTGGACAGGCGACGTTAGTTAAACGACTCGAGCAGGAGGTCAAGGCGGACTTATGCTTCTCGTTCGCTCGGGCATTGGACCTCGGGGTGCACCAAGGCATCCAGCACAAGGTCCAACAGGAAGCTATTCCGGACCACGATGCAAAGATACTCCTCGTTCTAAGGTTTCAGCTAGTAACAGTCGGCCAGAAAATAGCTCGGTAACACCCGGTCTTCCGGTCCGACGTCTAACATGACGGATGATAGGAGAAGTCAGAAGAGGCTAGTCAAACTTAAGAAGCAATCAAGGTCGAAAGTCCTTGGTCGAGACAGGGTTCGATGCAGGAGGGGAATGTCACGGGATAGTGCTCGAAACTTCGGCACTTGGGGAGGGATCTACAGAGGAGGTGAATCCTAAGCTTAACTACTGCACGTATGTACGTATGTACGTATGTACGTATGTATGTATACAAGTCGAACTCTGATTGTATGGTTGAGCGCAGCTGAAGTAGGGATTCGAAGTCTGGTAAGTTTACTAGTGACAAAGACTCGACGCCACGTACCAGCATCCCGGTATCGTGCAAGAGATAGGTGAGAATGGTTAACATCACTCATGATTACGGTTCCCTTTGCTTACATCGCAGGCTGGCCATGATACAGTCAACGATTGGACATGAAGTTGAGCTGAAGTGACATCGCCATTTGCCTCAACAGCTTCATTACGACTCTTGTTTTCCCTGTCTTCATACTATCTATGACTTCTCGTAGGTCAACACCCACAAACAATGGTGATCCTCGACACGCAATCTTTAGCCTTGCTTCGTCTTCCTTGCCTCATCTCAAACCTTGCTGATTTTACCTTTCCTTTCTTTTTCCTTCGCAAAACATCTCCGCCGCTATACTGAACAGGGCCATACCCTGTACCCCACGAACCTGTTAGAAACAATTTCATTTCTTCTTCTGTTCTCGCCTGTTGTTAGCAACGTCACTTTTAGATGCCCAATCGCGTCGATCAGCTTCTGGAAGACCGGTGAGCCGGGGTAGTGGCGTCCAACTTCCCGTAAGCCACGCCGATGATCCATGGCGGCAAACTCTGGCTTGGCCTTGACTTTGCAGATGAGGCTAGAGTCGGTGAGTTGAAGATTTCATGTAAATCTATAGTGAGGCTTGAATTTGCCAATATTCCTTGCGTATGTGATTTGCAGATATAATGCCGGATCTCTGGTATCTGTATGCCTTGACCTCGGAATACTAGGTCGATGTATAACGGTTGACACACGATCTCGGTAGAATGAAAGTTTAGGCGATTACAAGCTAAGGAAGTTTCTCTCGACTCTAGTTTGATTGACAGCAGGCATGGATATGGATGCGGTATCAGGGGTCTTATACGAGATGCCATGCTGCGTAGTGACGAATTGATGCTGTCCTTCTTGTGGTAGCTTTCCGATAGGATTGAACGAGAAAAGGCCGCGTCTTGGCTACAGGTCTGAGTCCTCCAATGCCGGTCTGTTCAATCTCTCAGTGCTTGTATCTATGTATTGATTCGTAATGTTCCTAGACTGAAGCAACATATCATATTGCATCAGGTCAATTCCTCAGGTGATATGATGTCCTTGGTTTATGTATTGCAGTTATTCGCAGCAAGCCATGCAGCAACTTTATTAGCGAGTGTAACGGTGAAGAGTTTTGTGTCCTGCATATGCCCACGGTAGCTACGCAAGACATTGGCTGCAGAGAGGCGCTACGGCTTGTCATTTACGACAGCGAGATCTGATCGAATCAGGGTACTCAAAGCGCTTTAGTTCAGGTCCCAACAAGTTGCTGAGGCTCAACGGCAATGCCGATCCAATGTGACATCAAGAGTCGTAGGTTATGGCGATTGCCCAGCAGATTCCGCCTCAGATGAGGCTTGATGTGAGGCTGCAGGTCGATATTAACAGCTGCAGCACTTTATCGCACACATGGACACTCAAAATACGAAGGGGTGCTGAAAATTGAGGCCTAATTTTATTTATTTTATGATCCGTTCTATTCGTAATCCACGTCTCCTCTGAGGTGATCCATCACTTATTGCGTCTCTTTTAATTTTTTGGTGTAGAAGCTCCCGTCATGATAATTCGTCCGTCGACCACGGGAGCAATGCAAGTTGTCCAATCAACCGTGTACTCGCCCTCTTTGAGAGGATCACAGATACTAGTCTTGACCTTTGCTTTGAGCGCCCACTTCGCAAAGAACTTGCGCATCAAGAGAATCTCAAAATCGAGTCTCGCGCCGTCAGGGTCTTCAAACTCTTCCTCCTCACGATCCTTCCCATGAAGTACCTCGTCGCTGGTTTCGTTGTCATCATGGGGCTTCATATTGATGCTGAAGCGACGCTTGAGGAACCTGCCCCAGGGGTCTTTAGCGTCCTTGGTCACACTCTCGGTGCGTTTGTCCTTGGGTAGATTCTCTGCAACGGACTTGAGGTTGGGGAAGTCGGTGTTAAAGGTAGTTCGGACAGGTGAGATGGGCGTCTCGCATTTCTGGGCAACTTTGACCCAATGTTGCGCGAGGTTTTTCCATCGTCCTACTGTCAAAAGGCCCATGAAGTACTGACGCAGCATGGCCGAGATAAGAATGCCGTTTTCTTCCTCGATAATCTCCTCTGCTTGTCCACCCTCAGACTTGACCAACAAGCTGGTGAAGCCATCTGCCGTTGCTGTCAGCTCTCTGTTTTGTGATTGTATAATTTTAACTTACCCTTTCCTCGTCCCATATATCCTCGGGTACAGAGCACATAGAGTTTCTCCGGCTCATACGGCTTTCCACCGATTTCCGCCCACAAGACTCTCTCCCCTCTAGGTCGGGAGGGATCAAACTCGAATCGAATGTTGGAAACCTGGGGGAATCGACCTTCCAAAGCAGGATACATAGCTACACTGTTCTCAAGAGCGTCGAAGATAGCTTGACCTGTCACTCTGAGCAACACGACAGGATCCTCGAATGGAAAGCAGGTTGTGATATCCTTGATGCGAACTGGGCCCGGGGGGTAGATTTGGTCGCCACGGATAGTACCAGATGCCATGATTGTGCAATCAGCGCCATGATGTTGTCTCATGACGTCGCATACAAAGTTTCCGATGTTGGACTCCTTAAGGCGAACTGTGCTGAAACGAGCATCCAGAGGTGTAGCAGTGTATCCGATAGGCCTTGCTAGTGACTGGTTGAGTTTGGAGGTGAGTTCGTCTACCGTTTTTAGTGTTGAAGGGTCTTCCTCGATAGACGAAACGATGTCTCTTCGCCAGATATCAAAATCCCACTTGGAAGGGTCATCTTCCTTGCGACGAGCCTCGATGTAACTCAGGTTCTTGAAGTCGGTACCAGATCGAAGCACGTGAGTCCCATTGATGAGGCTGTGGGCGTAGAAATGGTCGTGTCCGCCGAGGATGATATCAATGAGTCCTTCTGTCTGTTCTGCCAACTTGTTGTCATTGGGTTCTCGCATGTGGCTTAGACAGACGATGATCTCTGCACCGTCCTCCCGCAACTTCGGGACGAGCTCCTTGGCAACAGCAGTAGCGGATCTGTACTCCAGATTGGGCGGTAGACTGTTGATGGTCTCAAGCCATTCTCTCTCACCCAAGCCGATGAGGCCAACTTTGATGCCATTCGAAGTGGTGATCATGTGTGTCTTCTTGGCATGGCCAATAGGTGTGTCACCACCAATGTCATGGTCGATGACGTTTGCGAGCAGCCAAGGGAACTTGTTCTGACTTGAGAGATGCTCAAACTGCTTGACACCAAAATCGAAGTCGTGGTTCTGTGATTTGAGGCTGGTCAGTTACCAAGTCGGTCAAGGGTGGTATGACCTACCCACCCCTACACAAGAGCAGTCCGTTCCAATCAGATCAAGAACGGGAACCATATGTTGACCTAGGTCGCATCGTCAACATCTAGATATAAATAAGATGCATTTCTCCTGGATCACAAAACCCACCCTTGGTCACAGTACTCTCCAAGCTGGGGTTGAAGACATCTCCAGAAAAGAGCGTCAGGGCTCTAGGCTGATCCTTGAACGGTTCGCCTTCCTGGTACTGGCGGCACACGCTGATGAATCTTGGCAGGCCACCCACGGGCTCAGCACTGGAAGGGTCCAAGTGATAGACGTCGTTGTAGTGAATCAGCCTCAGATCGGGAGCTGAATCAGCCTGGCCCTGATGCTCGACACGGCCTGAGGCGTAGGTGACTTGAGGTTCGACAGTGGGCTCTCCGGCCTCTGCGGGGGCAGTGTCTTTGACCATTGGTAACAATATCAGGGACGATGTTGAGATAATCGAGTATTTATTAGGATACTTTTGTTCTTTTCTGAGGGAAGAATAAAAAACAGAATTCTTCAAAGAGTGGGAATGATGACAGACTCAAAGGCAACGAGGCGCAGCTGAAGCTCTACCTTACTTCTCTTCTCTCCTCTCCTCTCTTCCTCCTCAAAAGTCCAGTCCAGGGCAGCGCTAACGGCAGCTTGCAGCACGGGTCCCCGGGAAATGGATCCAGGTAGACCAGTCAGCACGTGACACTATGAAGCCATTACTTTGTGTCTGTTGATGATTTGCTGCAGGAGAAGCTTTGATGTTTGGGGCCTGCGAGTAACCAACGCACGCAGCATGTAACGCTGACGAGGTTTCTTCAGCAGCAAGAGGTGATTCTCTTATTTTAACGTTGTGGGACATTACGTAGACATGGCGTGCGGGAAAAGCAATTAATGGTACTGAGTTGAGAGGTGTAGCAGGAAAGGATACATGCCGGATATGTCGGTGAAAAAAGGATCTATAACCAATGGAGACCTGTTGTAAGTTGTGATACTCGAAATGCTTCGTTCCATGTGGAGAGCTTCGTTTGTCTGGACCTTCTGACCGACCATTGGCCATTGTCATAATTCCAGTTACTAAAATCAAACGCTGCGGTTTCATTAATAATGTCCTGATTCTCATAGGCGACTAATTGTATTGATTAGGTGCTCAGTCCAAAAGACAATTAGGGGTTTGCTCGAGACGCGACTATATAGGGTAGCAAATTAACCACTTCACTTCAAGACCTCCAGACTTGAAGGCAACGCGCTTTGTTCAATCCACGCTCTAATCACATCAGAAAATAGTTTTGGCTTTTGCAAATTCCACGTATGCACTGCTCCCCTGACCACTGCAGCCAGTGAGCCCTCAACGGGCATTTCCCTACCCATTCTTCTCACCGCCTCAACATCGTCAATGCCTTCTGCCGCAATCGCCAGCGTCTTCACTGGTAGCGTCCTGATATCGTCCCATTTGAGCTCCAGGAGTCCCGTGTCCACAGCACGAATCACTTCCCATCTCCTATATGCCGCATCTCCTCTAGGAGTTCTTCATGGCGACGCATGCCGCGACCTTTGAGAGCCACGAGCATATACAGCCATGTCGGTACCAGTTCGAGAAGCACTAACATAGTGTAGTAGGTGATGCTCGGATAGCGGACAACCCATGCCCAGTGGCCCTCCATGGGGTGCCCCGCGGTGACAATGGCAGAGAGGACCAGCTCCGGATGTTGCCGGCTGATACGGAGAGTGATGAAGGCACCCATTGAGAGACCGACAACGTGGGCCCGGCCGTCATGTGCGTATCGTCGAATGAGCAGGGCCACCCGCTCTGCGGAGCTGGAGATTCTCGCAGGGAGAATATTGCGGGATTGAGAATGGCCACTGATATCGGGGGCGATGATGTGATAATCGGATAGGTAAGGAATCACGTAGGACCATTCAAGATGTGAGTTAAGTAGACCATGTAAAAGGATTACTGTGATCGGTTTGTCTTGGTTGAGACTGACAAAGAACAGTTCTTGCTCTGCCTCGGTCGCTTCTGGCGATGTCATCTTTATGGGATCTTGAAAAGCCTAATATTATCAAGATGCCTGTGTATTTGGTTGAAATCATGACAAGATAAATCGAAAAGTATCATACCACCTCTAGGTTTTAGCTGTTCAGCTGATTTCAGCTGGCTACGCCGCAACCATCCTGATCTGGGCTATTATCATATCACCAGACAAGCTAAAAGTTAAGATTGACGAGATGCAATACTACCGACACCGGCAGCCAGTCAAGAAAAACAAACGTGAAAACTTTTGAAACTCTCCGATTTGGAACATCAGCTCTGAAATCCTGTTTCACAGTTTAGGTTGTCAACCGCGTCACTCTTCTTCAGGTGTTTTGACAGCAGCGTAGTATTAGTTGATGATCCTCACTGCTAACTGTTCCCAAACATTCGCCAAGATGTTTGCATCTCAGGGTGACTTCCGTTATAGGGCTTGTAAACTTATCGCAAAGAGCCTGCAACAAGTTTCATCCCAGGTCTTATGCCCTAAGCCCGAGGTTGAGTCTTGAGAACAATATCTGAGTGTGGTATCAGCCGCGTTTCTGAGGCGATCATACATAAGCCGTCGAGATACCGATCGGATGGTCGTCGTTCCTGTTGCAAGAGAGTTTCACCGTCGCGACGCCGTTTCTGCCACTACACTTTTCGCTTCATCTGGCGCCACTATCAACATCCACAAATTCTGCAGCTGAGGATCGTTGAGGAAAAGCCTGCCCTCCACTGACTCAATTGACCTCCCTCCGTATCCCTGGCCGCTAGAGGTTATGTGGCAGGCGAATTGAAATATCGCCATATGCCCTGTTTCAAAAACCGTTGATGGGAATTATTCGAAGCGCCATGGTAAAGAGATCTTCTGGTTTATGGAGAATTCAAAGTCCATGGAAAACGTCTAATAAGAGTTGAAAATGAAGCCATCACCGACTCACAATGGACTGACGTTAACAGGGAGCGCACCCAATAGCCACCAGATCTGGTGCCGCAAGCTAGCGGGCGAGACGCCGTGTGGAACAGGGGTCATGGCCTGAAGAGCCCCTGGCTAAGGGCAGCCGTTGCCCCTAGCGGTCCCTGACACGGGCGGCCATGCTCATGCAGGTTAGAGTGACCGTTGGCAGGCCTGGGCTGCGATCTTGGCTGACCAGGGTTGAATATTGCATTTGATCGCATCAATGGTTATTGTCAACATGCAGTCGAGGACGATATGGCCTGATGGATATGGTAGATAGAGCGATACCTGTAGAATTATCTCGCAATGTTTCTCTATCAGCGTTTCACTAGCCAAGCCAAACAACAGCTAAACCTCTCGGTTCCAAAGTCGACCTCTCCCTAGTCCAACCTGAAACGAGCTCGCCCACCACCCTCACCAGAGTCACTCCAAGGTCTGCACTGCTTGGCCTGCTTGGCTCGCTAGGTTTTCTCGTGATTGAGTTTGCAGCCATGTCGACGCTAGTCTCCGTGGCCCCGATCTTGACACCGCCACAACGAGGGAGCCAAGAGAACCAACATCTTGGCCCTGCCTGTGACAAGTCCAGAACACAGACGAGACAAGCCTGGCACTCGTCAACATCGATATGTGTTTTGTTATTACCATTGTGAAGCACAACAGCCGTCACGATGCCAGTTGATGTCACCTATATCGCCAATATCAACTCGATAGCCGCTCACAGCCTCGTAGTTCCATAGTTTCAACTGCTCTTGAGCCAACCAGACAACATCAACTCCAGATCCCAAGCATTCCCCTTGCAACCGCTGGTCCCACGATAGCACGTTCCCCAAAACCCTTCTGCCAGCTAAAAGGACTATTGTGCCGCTCTACCGGGCCCCATTACTACTTTCGATTCTCTGCCCCTCCCTTTCAATCTCGTTCTTTTGGCTGTTAAAAGTCAAGTCAGTCCAGGTCTGTCTTGGTCTGGTACGATTCGTGCGGCGCGTGGGCTGGTCCCCAATTTTTTCTCTTCTTCCCCCCTTGTTATCTTGTACTTCTTTTTATTCCCTTTACTATTAGACGATCTGCCATTTGGCTGATCTTCGTTACTTTAACTTATTCTGCTTCCTTGTTCTTCTTTCCTTACTCCATATCTCTTATAATAAGTACCGATCGTTGCCGGTGGTGGAGCTACCTTATTGTCACGACGACTTCATTATTGGGATTTTGAGATTCTGTCTGTCTATACCCACTCAATTCAGCTCTACGCATCGCATATAATCACTCCACAGGCAGTGGTTCAATTACAACAAATTTCACCGCAGGACGGCACAAAAAAGAAGAGAAAATTATTCTGATAATTTGGGCGAAAAGAGAAAGACGGGATTGGATATCGCTACGAATCACTGTCTCACGTATAGGGAAAACGGCCGCGTACAGAAATCATTCAGACGAAAAAGACACAGAGCATCGAGAAAGAGCTTGGAAGAGAAGATACGAGAAAATGGCCTCGGCCTTGTCAATTCGCCTCGCGGCAGCAGCCCTTTTCGCCCTTTCAGTAACAGCACAGTCATCACCCGCCATGTCCATGTCCATTGAGTCATTCATTCGAGCAGCTGATGATGTTCTCCACCGACCATACGTTTCCCTACTATCAACACCGCTCGCTGAGCGCGATGGGAACGCCACAGTCGAGCAGCTTCCCGCAGGAGATGTCCCTCTGACAAAGGATGGCTCGTTGAACATGACCGCCTGGAACATGGAAACCAACGCTGCATGCCGATCAGCTCTTGGTGGACTGCACAAGAGCACAAACCCCTCGGGAACATGCGTGTGCTATAATCTTCCCTCACTCGATGTCAAGACTGGCGTTTTTGAGGCTGATGTTCGACTGTATCAAGTTTCTCAACCCAGAGGTAGTTTTGCAGCTGTTGCACCTGAGGATATTAATGTTGGAATCTCATATAAGGGTGCAAGTGTCATGCCCATCCAGCCTGCAGATGTCAATGGCACAGGTCTAACAGGCGGCAAGCCTGGTATGGGAAAGAGAGAAGAGGGAATGCCACTCCTGCAATCATATATGCTGGTTGGAAAGATTGATGCGAACCAGATGACGGATAACATGACTATGTAAGATTCCAAACTCACATCTCACTTCATTCACATATACTGACTTTCTCAGGGACGAGCTCGAATGCCATATCATGCCAACCCTCACCCTCACTGCCCGCAACAGCACAGGCAGTATTATCCGCACCAATGTCTCCATCAACGAAGCCGCTTTTCTCACTGGCGTCTTCTCTCAAGATGTTGTCATGTCCGACTTCGCCATGGCCTCAGCCGCCGTCGACGATCAGATCGCCGCCGTCAACAACGGCACTGTCGCCTTTGTCCTCCCAGGCGTACAGCTCATGGTCCTCCCCATTGGTCTTATCATGATGAGCGTTTGGCTGCTCATCTTCGTCTCAGCTGTTGGCTTCGGCACATATGAGCGCTACAACTATGCTCTCATGTATCAACGCAGACAAGCTGTCACAATGCCCAAGAAGGCGACAATATGAAGCAGGACATGAAGTTGGGATATAATCAAGCGAGCTTTTCATTACTCTTACGGCCATGCATAGCGTTGTCGACTCTTTTTTCTTTACTACTTTAACTCTCATAAGCGTGTCATTTCCATTCTGCCGATATTTCAGGCACCATATGTCTTTTTAGTTGATATCCGACCTCACATGGTCCCTAGATTCACTTTCTACACTACACCAATAGATAGTCTCATAGCATCAATGTACTAGCCGCTATGGCTGAACAATCACATACTAAGCAGTATAAGGTTCATCCCCATATTGGGCATCTGGGGTGAGATGTCAAATTGTGGGACGATTCCCCTCTACATGAAACACCATCGTAAGGTACTGAACCCGGAAATCCCTTTTACCGACCCTTGTTACATGACGTTGTATCAGCCCGCTGGTGTCAAAACTATAATGAAATTCTTGGTATCGTAATATAACATCTAACATGGCCATGCCAAGGAAACCATGGGCTAGTCGCACAACTGTAACAACTCCAACGCTGTAGGGACCGTCCAATGCAAACATGAGAAAACGTCGAATCATAGCAAACTGGTTCCTCCAACTCCTCCAAGCCATGCACATAATCGAAACGCCGCGCGGCAAGACATAACTTCAAACTATGAGATTGACAATCTCCTCTCTGCACTTCTCCATCGCCCTTTAGCCCAGAGGAAGCATTCTGTGAAGACCATATACCACCCTGTCACCATCCAGAATGATAGAATGACACCTAGTCCGCCCATGAGTCGTGCATCGACAATACCCCGTGTCATGGTCTCGCGTATAGCATCGTTCATCATAAGCCACCCGTAGATTGGGATAAGCGGCTCCTGAGACTTGAGACGGGATGAGAGTCGGTTTGTTGGGCCATTCCGCTCATGCTTCCATTCCGAGATAGTGTCCGACATGCGCCAGGCAACCTTGTTGTTAATCTTCTCCCATGTCATCTCGCATGCGTACGATCTTGCCGCCTGGCCCATCTGGGCACGAAGGTTGTGGTCTAGACCAAGTTTCATGGCCTTGGCTACGAAACCATCGAGGTCGTCTGGAGAGATGAGAAACCCGTTTCCTCCTTGCTGGACAATGTCAGACGGCCCCCCTTCATCACGAGCGATGACTGGGACCCCACTGGCCATAGACTCCAAGACGACAAGTCCAAAGGTTTCTGTAACCGAACAATGGAGAAAAACATCACCACTAGCATAAGCAGTGGCGAGATCTTCCCCGACCTTGAAACCGGCGAAGACAACCTTGCCCTTCTCTCTCAGAGGATCAAAAAGCTCCTGTACTTCCTTCTCGACATCGGGGTTGCGGTTGCCGCCTACGATGTAAAGTTTGAAGTTGAGTCCCCGGGCATCAAGCTCCTTTGCAGCCTTCGCCAGGAAATCGAAGCCTTTCTCGCCGGCGATTCGGGAGACTGTCACGAAAATGATCTCACCGTTAGGTGCCAACTGTTTTCGCAGTTCCTCGCTTCTCATCTGGGGATTGAACAGCTCAGTGTTG